TCGAGTACGATAGTCGTATGCTGGAAGGACTATACCGCTCTACTCGTCTCGGTTTCACACACATCCTGATTCTAGAGGACTTTAATCTCCCTAGAGTCAACTTCGCGTTACACACGTATACTGAAGGCGACAACTAAATTGAAGCTCGGTTCTTCAACCTCATCGATGACTTGGGATTGTACGAAAATGTGAGGTCGGCAACTCGTTGGAGAAACAGTCAGACTGTGTATTCACAAACAAAAAATTTCTAGTTGACAACCTCTCAATCCTGGCTCCCCTGGGAAAAAGCGATCATGCCATCATAGCCTTCAGTTTTGTCAGCAATTCTAAGCTAGGATACCCCCACCAATAACTTGCGTTGGAATCTTAAACGGTTAAATGTGCCAGCTCGACACGACTATCTACAACAGGTGGTTTGGGATGTTCACCCACAATTCGATGTGGACGGTCATTGGGACTTCTTATTTCACACGCTCTTACATGCTACAAACCATTCAGTCCCTCAAACGGTTCCCAAAAGCTCCAAGTCACCTACAATAATCAAAAACCGTACCCTTCGCCTGCTAAGCCGCAAAACGCACTGTTGGGTGGAATACAAACGAACTGACAACGATGGAGCGTACAGGCAATGTAAACATATCAGTAACATATGCACGAAGACTGTAAGAGAAGATAGGCTCCAGTACCAGAAAAAACTTATGGACAAACTTGCCTCTAATCCTAAAAGCTTATTCCGTTAAGCAGCCTCTCTTCGTCAAGCCAAAACTAAAGTTTCCCAACTAGTACGTCTTAACAGACCAACCAACAACGATGGCGAAGCCGCTTAACTTCTGGCTGAACGTTACTCCCAGACATTTCAACCGACCGACATTAACTTTACTGATGACAGTTTCGTTTGCAATTCCACAGAACTTTCCGAAGTGAACCTAAGCGCTGACTTGGTGTTCCGGAAACTGCAGCACTTAAGATTAGACACTTCTGGCCCGGACATAGTCCATTCCGCCATACTGAAAGAAGCCGCCTTAATCTTGGCAACGCCGCTTAGCGTGATGTTTTCAAACTCGCTAAGTCGAAGAAAACAACCGGAAAATTGAAGGCTGGCTCACATCACACCAATTTTCAAAGGAGGTCGACTCAACGAACCTTCAAGTTATCGACCGGTGGCTCTTCTCTCCATACCCTCAAAAATCATGGAATCCTTGATATGCGATGGTATAAATGACTATTTACTGTTCTTAAATTTCTTCTCACCCCAACAGCATGGTTTCAGGAAGGGTTACTCTTGTATTACCAACCTGCTGACTGCGGTGGACAGATGGACAACATCCTTGATCACAAGGGGAAGGTTGATATCATTTACCTAAATTTCTCAAGAGCTTTTGATAAGGTTAACCATTCATGGTTTATCAATAAGCTCAAACGATTGCTTATCAGACCACCTCTAATCGTTTGGCTCACTTCATACCTGAAAAATCGACATTTTAAGGTCAGGGTTAATTTCACTTTATCTCAGGTTATGGAATGCCCTAGTGGGGTCCCTCAGGGCTCAGTACTAGGGCCTCTTCTCCTCTTGATCTACATAAATGATCTTCCTCGACAGGTAACGTCAGACTTATTACTTTTTGTCGACGACGTGAAACTTTGGAGGGAGATACGCAACCAAGACGATATACAGGCACTTCAGGAGGATCTGACGACTTCAAAGTTGGGCAGACGATAACAGACTTGCCTTCAACACTTTAAAGTTTAAAGTAGTTCATCTGCGACATGTCGCAGACTACAGTTATGACTTAGGTACCTCCTCTCCAGTAGTATTCCGAGTCGAAAAATATTTGGGAGTCCTGGTGCCACAAGATTTAAAGTCTTATGCGAACTGTGACAAAAATGCCTCCCGAGCGAACCTTGCACTGATAACACTGAAGCGCATTTTTGGCCAGTTTGACCGAAGAACTTTCCATATAATCTTCAATGGTCCCCATTTAGTGTACGGAAACATAGTATTTCTTCCCTCATTCTAAAAGGACAAGGACACTCTGTAGCGTATACAACGGCTAGCCACGAAATCAGTTCGAGGACTCAAATATAAACCTTACGGCGAGCGCCTCCACTCACTTAACCTTTAGCCATTAGAGTACAGACGTCTTAGAGGTGACCTTTTGATGGCTTATAGTATCCTTAACACTTCTGGACATCCTCTCAAACACTTACTTAAGCTTAGATCCAACACTAACCTAAGAGGTAACACCCAAAAACTGGAGACACAACATAGCAGAACGGACTGTAGACACAACTTCTACTCCTTAAGAGTTGTCAAATGCTGGAATTCGCTGTCGGCTGAGCTAGTCTAAGCGAATTCTCAGGAGTCCTTTAAGAGGCAATTTGCTCTATCCTTAAGGTCTAATGATAGTATTATACTATAATTTACCAATTTCCTTTTCCTCTTTCTTCGTTAACATACCTAGGTTCATACCTAGAGTTATTAGTGATCCCCTGCTACTAGACACGGAAGCCTGTTAAGCGAAAGCTTCTTCTATTCCGTCCACAACCATTCGAATATTCATAATCTAGTTGAGCACTAGAAGAAAGAGGACGAGGGAGAGTGGACAGTCTTGTTTGACTTCGATCATTGCTTGGAATGCGTTTGTCAGCTGTCCTCCACGCACCACTTTGCAATCCATCGTATGAATTCCGGGCGATGTTGACGAGTTCTTCAGGTACTCCACAGCATCGAGGAAGTTTACATAATGTTCTTCTGTCCACATTGTCACATCACGTCTAATAATCAAGGAAGTTGATGTATATTAGCGAATTCCACCCAACTGGTTGTTCGACGATGATCCGTAACGTTGCGATTCGGTCTGATCTTTACGGAATCCAATCTGTTGATCTCCAAGTTGGGCGTCCATTGCGATTTCATCCGGTTCAGCAACAGTCTATTGAAAACTTTTCGCGATACTGACAGTAGTGTGATGCCTCTCTAGTTCTCACAATTGCCCAAATCTTTCTTTTATGTCCTGAGGAGGTGTCCTTCTTTCCAATCCATCGGCACTTCCTCCCAAATATTCCTGGATAGAATGTGAAGCACGTTTGCAGTTACTTATGTGCCTGACTTTAGTGCTTCAGATGGTATATTGTCAAGTCCTGCTGCTTCCCAAATCTTGATTTATCTGATACCCATCCTGATTTCTTCAATCTTTGGTAGAGTGGCGTCGATAGGTGGGTCTGTGAGTGCTGCCTCGGTGTACGGTGGATTCAATGGAACTGATCTATTCAAGAGTTTCTCAAAATATTTTACCCATCTGTTCCTCTGTCCTTGAATTTTAGTGGTTAGCTGTCCTTCTTTGTTCTTGACTGGTCTTTCTGTTTTATCATATTTCTCTATCAGTTTCTTCGTTGTGTCATATAGTTGTTCCATATTTCTTTCTCTCATAGCCTTTTCCGCTGTCGTTATTATCTCTCCCACGTATTTCTGTTTATCAGCTCTAGTGATTCTCTTCACTTGTTTATTTGCTTCTGTGTATTCATCCTGTGCCTTGATTTTCGCTGTCCTTGTTCGGCTCTTGTTAATTGCTGTTTTCTTATTCTTCCTTTCCTGGATTTTGTCTAGGGTTTTGATAGAGATTCACTCCCTATGATGATGCTTCTTGCAGCCCAGCAGTTCCTAGCACGTTGAAGTCGGTGTTTCTCTGATCTCTTTATAGTCATCCTCCATAGTAGTTTCTTCTTCTTTGAGTAGATCTTGTAAGATTTGGAACCTATTGTTGAGAGCTAACTTGAATTCGTTAAGTTTGTCAGAATTTCGAAGGAAGACTGTATCGAAACTTTGTACTGCTGTTTCCACAGTTGTCCACTGTTTCTTTCACCACAAAGTGGTGACGCGAAGCTGTGTAAGTTCATCTCCTAGTTCCCACGTCCTCCATCGACCATCTGAATTTTTTAAGGATATAATTATGACCTAACTGGTTCTCCGTGCTGTAGTCCGGTGAGACCCATGTAGCTTTGTGTGGAAATATTGCGCCGCCTATAATCAGTTAGTCGAGTCCACAAATATTCGCGAATCGCTCGCCATTCTCGTTTCTTTCTTCCAGTCCATGTCGTCCGACGATATCTTCATAAGCGTTGTTGTTCATTCCGACTTTTCTGTTTGCATCTCCCATCAGGATTGTCAAGTCTTTTCCTGGGCAATTCGCTATGATCGGTTGCAGCTCGGAGTAAAACTACTCGTTATCGACGTTAGTACTGTCATTGGTGGGTGCATAACATTGGATAACATTCATTATGCACCCCCTCCTTCTTTATCTTTAAGGATGCATTGATGACCATGGGTCCATGAAATTCTCATTTCATAGGTGCTTTACGTGCTTATTTGGACAACATCAAAACAACTTACAAAGTATGTCAAGCATTGTCTTCTTCATCACCAGAATACAAGAAAATCTCTCTCGAATCTATCCTTTCCCATCCAGCTCCGTTTTAATGGGTTTCACTGATTCTGAGCACCGTCAAGTTGTATCTCCTCGTTTCCGTTGTTATTTGACTGATACTCGCGGTCTCCCACACCGTCCAGACATGTAATGTACCTATAAAAATTGATGCTCTGGTTTTTAGAAGGGGTATCGTTCTCGTGACTTTCGAAGAACCTCGGCTTTCATCATGATGCGTCACGATTCTTCAAATCTCAGGGCAGAGTTTAAATGTTTTAATTTGCTTGGTGCTTTAAGCAAGTTTTGTCTACGAGATGGGGTTGCCGACCCCGTGCTCAACCCTCCTTTTTACCCGGGCTTGTGACCAGCAATAGCCTTAGAAGAGCTACAGGTGGAGTTATTTGATTTACTACAGTGACAAAATTAATCTCTTTACAACCTGTCAAATACTGAAAACTAATTTCCAATGCACAAATATCTAAGAGAGAAAACAAACGAGTGTATTAGCTCGTAAAAATGGAATTTTGTAATGAAATATTAGACAGTCCTACACATGACCTTGAGCACCAGGAAATCATCTAATTGCATTCTGGCGGGAGTTCGAGATAGTAGAAGTTGGTTTTTGGATTTTAACGTCATATAAAACTTCCTTTTAGCATCTTCGTTGCTTCTGAGAGAGTATACATCCTTAGTGTTGATAAATAACCATAGCTAGTTTCACCCACCCATTTCTTTGTCACTTGAAATTTCGCAACACCATGTCTCTGTAATCATGGGTTTGAATTAAGTGTCCTACTGTTCCATAACCCTAACATTCAACTGTAAATCCTAATTCCCAACGCTAATATGTAACTCCCATCTAACCCCGTTAAGTGGACGGACATTCCAAAGACATTTTGGTGTTGCTCAAAAGTCTTACTCAAAACTACAATCAACTTGAGGTATCAATTAAAAGAATCGGTATACAGATACGAGAAGTAGTTATCAAGGTTCACCCAATCTCCCGACTTTAGGGAGAATGTATCAATATCGGTAAAGGTCTAGTACAAAATTTCAGAGAAGTAACACTAAAGGCCCCAAAATTTCCCGTCTAGTGAAAACTACGATTTTTTTATAGGACTTTAAGGAAGTTTGTAAACCTTCCCCGAAATTGGGATATTTGGTTAAATGCATGTCAAAATTACTATTTACTGCTGGGTTTTGAAGTCCACTTTTTCCAATACCTAATACTTTTGTAATAAACTGGTATAAACCAGTTGGTTGTTTTGCACTTGCGTATTGATGTTGAGGAAGCTGTTCCAGAAAAATACAGTGAATATTTGAGGCCTAAAGTGATTTACTATCCTATTTATCCTATAAACCGTTGAAGTCTGTTGTCTGTCAGCTACAACTCAGGATCAGGTACATTTATCGGTCCAAGTTGTCATATCTCATTAACACAACAAAAAGAACACCAAATTCATAGAAGTAGTTACTTCAGTGGTAACAATATATAAAAGAAAAATTGCATATAAGGATATAATAGAGGAAGAAAGAATTAGTCCGTAGAACTAAAGTATAAAGTAGTTTTAATCTCACGGTTTTAGGGAAGACAAAGATTGTATACACCTACACCATTGCGATTGATTCTGAGCCATGTCACCCAAAATCTCCAACCATTAGTTACGATAGTTACGTGGACCCTAACCAAGTAGTCTGCATTTACCAAAATGGCTCAGGCCAGACGTTAGTGACTTCAAGCACTGGTGCAACGCTTTTGTCTGGCCGCCATTAATTTTCTTCCAACACTTACCAGCATTGCGCTTCGTGGTAATAGGCGTTCAGACATGCGCAACACGTGACCCAACCATCTCAGTCAATGAAGATTCAGAACTAATTTACCACCATTCCCTAATACTCCGTGCCTAACCTCACTATTATCCGGTGATCCCAACAGGTGCGCGCATAACTTCTAAGACATCTACGGTCGTATACTAGTAACTTGCGAGTATCTTCTACTCTTAATGTCCACGTTTTGCTTCCTTAAAGTAGAACAGAACGAACTGCCGTGCTGCATACTTGTCCTTTAATTTATAGACGGATGTCTCGCCTTCGCCATAGGTGACATAAGTTGGCAAAAGCCGAACAAGCTTTCTGAACCCGTGCAGAGGCTTCGTCAGACATCAACCTATCAGGGTTGATCAGACTTCCAAGATAAGTGAAGTCGTCAACGCGTTCGACTACTTCAATCCCTATCTTTAGTTCAGGTGTTGACGCAGATCAGTCCTGAAGCAACAACTTGCATTTAGAGGGAGAGAAGCGCATTCCAAACATTCTGGCATTGTTGTTTAGTGCTACCAAAAGACTCTGCACTCTATCAGCGTCTTCACCAAACAGGACGATATCGTCTGCGTATTCCAAGTCGATAAGTGGACCTCCTGGAACGAGGTCAATACCTGAGAATTCAGTCGACGAAAATGTTATTTCCATTAGTAGGTCTATGATCAAGTTAAACAAAAATGGAAGAAGTGGGCAGCCTTGACGGACACCACTTGAGGTTGCAAAAGTAGATGACAGTTCTCCATAAGCTCTGACTCGACTGGTAGTGTTCGAGTAAAGAGCCTTCACGAGGTTTATGTACTTCTGAGGTACTCCTTTCAATAACAGACACTGCCACAGAATCTCGCGGTCTACGGAGTTTAAGAAACGACCGTGAGCAGTGGTGGGCAACGAAAGCAAAAGAGATGGAAAAGGCGGCGACTATAGGGAACACAAGACAACTTTACAGACTAATAAAAGAAACTGGAATTAATAAGTCAAGTGTAAGTGAGATTATATCGGAAAAAGACGATACTCTCATCTATTCCCAGTCCAGACGTTTAGAACGATGGGCGGAACACTTTAGGGAACAGTTCAGCTGGCCTTCAGCGACTCTACAACTACCCTCCATTCCCAGACAGCGTGAATGGAACATTGAAGGAGGTCCCCCAACTCTTGCTGAAGTTCAAAAGGCTATAGATAATCTGAAACGAGGAAGGGCAGCTGGTCCAGATGGACTGGTTCCAGAAGTCTTTAAGGATGGTGGTCCAATTTTAGCGATTAGGTTGACTAATATTTTAGCTAAGATCTGGGAGTTAGACGTTATTCCATCTGACTGGTCACAATCACTTATCGTCCCATTATATAAGAAAGGGTCAAAATCATCCTGTGACAACCACAGATGGATTAGTTTAACTAATATAATATCTAAAATACTAGCCTCGATAATTATCAGACGCCTAACTAAGACTCGTGAACTGCAAACACGAGAAAACCAAGCTGGCTTCAGACCTGGTCGTGGCTGCATCGACCACATATTCACCATTCGTCAGGTTCTAGAACACAGGCATACTTATCGGCGTCCGACGATGGTGGTCTTTCTTGACTTAAAAGCAGCATTTGACTCGGTAGACCGCGAGGTTCTGTGGCAGTGTCTGTCATTGAAAGGCGTACCTCAGAAGTACATAAACCTTGTGAAGGCTCTTTACTCGAACACTACTAGTCGAGTGAGAGCTTATGGCGAACTGTCATCTACTTTTGCAACCTCAAGTGGTGTCCGTCAAGGATGTCCACTTTCCCCATTTTTGTTTAACTTCATCATAGACCTACTGATGGAAATAACTTTCTCGTCGACTGAGTTCTCGGGTATTGATCTCTTTCCAGCAGGTCCACTTATCGACTTAGAATACGCAGATGACATAGTCCTGTTTGGTGAAGACGCTGACAAAATGCAAAGTCTTCTGGTAGCACTGAGCAACAATGCCAGGATGTTTGGAATGCGCTTCTCTCCCTCGAAATGCAAGTTGTTGCTTCAGGACTGGTCTGCGTTAACACCTGAACTAAGGATAGGGAGTGAAGTAGTCGAACGCGTTGACAACTTCACTTATCTTGGAAGTCTGATCAGCCCTAATGGGTTGGTATCGGACGAAATCTCAGCACGGATTCGAAAAGCTCGTTTGGCTTTTGCCAACTTACGTCACCTTTGGCGAAGGCGAGATATCCGTCTATCAATAAAAGGACGAGTATACTGCGCGGCAGTCCGTTCTGTTTTACTTTACGGTAGCGAAACATGGCCATTAAGAGTAGAAGACACTCGTAAGCTACTAGTATTTGACCACAGATGCCTTAGAAATATTGCTGGCGTCTGCTGGGATAATCGGGTAAGTAATAGTGAGGTTAGACGCAGGGTATTAGGAAAGGATGGTAAATCAGTTGATGAGGTTATGAATCTTCATCGACTGAGATGGTTGGGCCACGTGTTACGTATGCCTGAACACCGATTACCACGACGTGCAATGCTATCCGGTGTTGGGGATGGTTGGAAGAAAGTTAGGGGCGGCCAAACCAAAACGTGGCATCAGTGCTTGAAGTCACTAACTTCTAGTCTGAGCCATGTTGGTAGATGCAGACTACTTGGTTGGGGTCCGCGTGACTATCGTAACCAATGGTTGGAGACTCTTGGTGACATGGCTCAGAATCGATCACAATGGCGTCGGTGTATACACTCCCTGTCTTCCCTTAAACTAAGAGATTAAAAGCGCTTCATATCTTTCTACTAACCAATTCTTTCTTCTTGTACTATATCTCTATATGCAATCTTTCTCTTATATATTACCACCTTTTACCTAACCACTGTTATGAATCCGGTGTTCATCTTGTTGTGCTGATGCGGTATGGCAACCTGGACCGATGCACATAAGTGCATGGTTCTACGTTGTAGCTGACTGACTGACTGGAGTCAAATGCTGCTTTTAAGTTAAGAAAGACCACCATTGTCGGACGCCTTTAAGTATGCCTCTGTTCTAGTACCTGACGAATGGTGAATGTGTGGTCGGTGCAGCCACGACTAGGCCTGAAGACAGCTTGATTCTCTCGTGTTTGCAGTTCACGAGTCTTAGTTAGGCGTTTGATAATTATCGAGGCTAGTATATTAAATACTATGTTAGTTAAACTAATCCCTCTATGGTTATCACAAGATGATTTTGACCCCTTCTTATATATTGGGACAATCAGTAATTGCGACCAGTCAGGTGGGGTTACGTCCAACTTCCAGATTTTAGTTAAAATATTAGTCAGCCTAATCGCTAAAACTGGGCCACCATGGTTAAAGACCTCTGGAGCCAATCCATCTGAACCAGCTGATCTTTCTCGTTTCAGATTAGCTATTGCTTTTTTAACTTCATTTACAGTCGAGAAGTCTGCAATAGCAAAATGTTAAACTTTCCGGGCAGTTCGTCGTTTGATTATCTGCATATCATCGCAGATTTAAGTTGTATTCCAATCAGTGGTTTACAACATACTCCATCCCCATGTATGTCCTTCATCGATGCTGCGAGTCGCAGTAAAGATGTGTTTATCCATCTTTATGATGGTGCATTATCCCTTACTTTTTTTAAAATCCCTATTTGGATGGTCAAGAGTTATCTGCTTCTTGATGGTTTTGTTATTGTGACTCTTCTCGGGGTACCTAGCCTGTCGTATGCCCTAATGATCTCGTAATTTTCAGGTTGCTTGATCTCCCAATCGAAATGGGACAGTGCATGGTGTTATTGTTGTGTGCTAGGTTCAATGAGAATTGTATGCTATATGCATAAAAATCCGCCCCGTTATTGTTCCTATTTGCTCCAAAATGCCCTGGTACAGTTGAGAGTGGGGAGAGTTCACTTTACCTCTCGAAATGCTCTCACATGGCCACGCGTGTATAGCCTCTGTCAGGGAAGTCCTACTCATTGCCTTCTGGTGGCACTACTGTTGTTTACGAAATTGAGAGGACGAAAAGCGAATGTCCGGCGCTTTAACCGGGTTGGTGGACATGGAGAGTCCACCTGGGGGAGTTGGAAAACTCTGATTCCAAACCAGTGGTGCACATGGGCCCCAGTATCCTGAAGGAGTAAATGACGTATGAACCGATTTATTGGTCACCGGTTACCATGGGAATCCATCTCCCCACGATGCTTCACTGTCTTGTGAATCAGACCTTCAGGTCGAAGGCTCTAGATGTGGTCCCCTAAGAAAACCACCTGCTTCGGTTTGGGCACTCGGGTAGTATCACAGCCCTCACACATCAAATGAGATTTGTGTGGCGCATATGTATTTGGTGCCTCCTTGTACCAATATCTGTGTTAAAATTAAATTAAATGAATCCACACGTACGTTGTTTTATTCTTCGTGGTCCCTAACACGTCATTAAGTTTTGGCGTGTGGCGATTTTACTGCAAATATTCGGGTTGTGGTTGATGATGAAGACAACACTTATTGCTATTCATTTCCTGTCTTGTAATTCTCTTGTAAATCCAGTGATCATATATGGTCATTCTCGAGTTGAGGCCAAATTAACCCTTCTAGTAGGCTAACAAACATTTCTGTTGATCGTGGTCACAATACTTGCAGTGGAAGTCAAATCGTAGCAGATGTTATATTTATTAGTCGGTAGCCCCCATGATGCTGCTATCATGTTCCACTCCATTTATTCAGATTATTGGGGTTCATCAATATCTGCAAGGCTTCGTATGTCAATCCTCCTCTCTAAATCACAAAACCCTTACGAAGGATTTCGATCTTTAGTTCTAAACTCCAAAGAAAACAATCCATAATATTTGACTTCAATTGGTAAAATCTCTACTAATGCAATTCATATGTAACGTCTCTCATTTACCTGGCACCCAGTTTTTTTAAACATATTCGTCCAAGTCCGAGGATTTATGCTGATTTATTTACCCTAAAGCATATAAGGAAAGTGTGGTCTCAAGTAAAAAACATAATAGCCACCCGTGATAAGTAACGTTTTGAAGCAGCAATACTTTGAAGTCTTTTTATACACTAACAATAATCCTGGATGTTTGTTTTAGAATGGAATCTCACAAAGTGCGTAAATCATGGTTCGGTACTGATAGAAATCCTTTGTGTGTAGCATCTCTGGATCAAGATCGACCCTTCTTAACAGTTTCGCAGTCTTATCTTATTAAAGAGCAGTCGGAATCTGACCAGATCACCACGCAAAATGTAAGTTTCGGTAAATTCAGTTTTCTCAGTTTGAATTTATTACACAAGTAGTTTTAATGTTGTCATCGTTCAGCCTTTTGCAGTCATTAGCTCATAATATTTTCCAGTCACTTAACAGCGAATTTGAAAATCCAACATGGTTTTAGACTTGGCTGTGCATGCACTGGCCAAACCCTTCGGCAGATTCTTAAGCACATAGACATACCAACTTCCAACTATGATTATATTCTTCAACTTAAAAACAGGATTGAATCCAGTTGACCGAGAGGCTTTTTGGTATTTACTAACGGGTGTACGAAAAATGTGCTTGAACCCCTCAAATGCTCTTTATTCGAACATTAGTGGCTCATTGAAACCATATAGTTGAATACGTCTACCAACTAGCATACTATATATGGATCGAGATGTGTTACTCTCAGTTATTTCATGTTTATTGTCGGATTTAGCTTATTCAAATGAAGTATCGCTAACCGCATCGCAGTGTTCACATATGACTTGAACGTGAGCATCATACTCAATGTCTGATTTACAGACTCTGAGAATGAATTCCATCTTCCAAAATTATGTTTGAAAAGTCTCTTATCTACTCCATAAACTTGCCCCATCTAAATAAAGAAATTACTAGGAACAGTCATTATCACAGAAATCTTACGCTCATATTTTCGAAGGAATTCTCACATCTTCCAGTCATCAATTCACTGCTCTGTCTATCACATGAAATATGCAGTTTTGATGGTAACTTTTTTACAACTAATTAATTAATTACAATTTCATGTACTTGCGTTTGATCCATACTTTGTAAGGATTACGGATGCTATTTTTATGACCAGATTGACGTCTTTTGAGGGCTTCAAACCTTATGACTTTATAGCTGAGTATCAAATGCTTTGCGTGAAGCTCGTAATAAACATTGATAACTACTAAGTATATATATTTATATCATGTCCGTGAACGCCACTTGTGATTGCAACGTTTCTATTGTTTGTTCTGATCAGTTAAACTTCAGTTACACAAAGTGCTTATGTCTCCATCGTATCACTTGCTAAGTAGTTATATGACTGTTTTTTATATTTCCTTGAGATTGTATTATCTCACTCGTCTGTCCCGTTTCTCTCTTTATCCTCGAATCTCAGTGCTAGATTGTTGTGTATGTTCACATTCGGTCTCTTGGATGGTGAGCAGATAGAAGTAGTCGAGAAGTTCGCGTATCTGGGTAGCTGCATAAGTGCTGGTGGGGGTGTGAGTGATGAGATCAATGCTCGTATAGTGAAAGCCAGAGCGGCTTATGCCAATCTGGGCCACCTTTGGCGCCTTCGTGATGTTAGTCTGGCTGTAAAAGGTCGGATCTACAACGCGTCGGTGAGAGCAGTTTTGCTCTATGCTTGTGAAACCTGGCCTCTCCGAGTTGAGGACGTTAGACGACTCTCTGTGTTCGATCATCGCTGTCTCCGAAGGATTGCTGACATTCAGTGGCAACACCATGTTAGTAATGCAGAGGTTCGGCATCGTGTGTTCGGGTGCAGAGACGATAATTCGATTGGTGTCACCATCTTGAAACACCGACTTCGGTGGCTTGGACATGTTCTACGAATGTCGTCCCAGAGAATTCCACGTCGTGCATTGTTTGCCGACTCTGGGACTGGTTGGAAAAAGCGGAGAGGTGGTCAGTGCATGACATGGTGTCGTGGTATGAAAGAAAGCTGCAAAGGACTGGCTTCTGTCGGTCCTTCACGACTCCCTGGTTGGGGTCTGAGAGATGGTGCTACACAGTGGCTAGAGACGTTATCAGATATGGCTCAGAATAGAAGCCAGTGGCGATCCTGCTGTAACCTTCTTTTACTTTCTTCATAAAAAGTGGTTGTGTCTCCCTTACTTGAAAGATTTCTTCCGATTGTACCTTTCCGTTCCATCGTTACGACCGCACTACCTTTCACCAATCTCTTTGTTATCGTTCTCTTTTTCTTTTGTGCTCCTTAGTTTTTTTTTTCTTTTCTCTCTTCGAATTTTCATTGTTTTGTGTGGCGCATATATATTGGCGCTCTCTTGTACCAATATTTATGTGCTCAAATAAATAAATAAATAAATCTTGCCGTTGTTTGTGTCTGTAATATCTCACATTATATATCAGTGTCCATCTTTTCTCACGTTTTCGTTTACCGAAATCGCAGTATTGTGTAAAATTTGATATTCACGTAATTACGTGCTCATTATGTTTCAGGAAAATGCGAGTGGAACAAAATCACCCAGTGGCAATTATGAAGTGACTTTACATGGAGATGAGAATGAAGTTCCTTTCACAGTAAACGTTTCTGATACTCTTTCTGTATCCATGTTCTCAAGAAGAGCTGTAGTAGATTTCGGTACGACCAACTTTACAGGAAAGTCACTGACTCGTTTCTTGCTGTTAGTAAACCATTTTGATGGAGAGCAATCAGTGAGTGCTTATCTTTTTTAACAGTTTGGTTTGTATGCTGCCTTTATTGCATTCTTTCTTCATATCAACAATTCTCCTTGTTTTTTGAATTTTCACTCACTTATTTCTGTCAATATAATCTTTTCCCCAAACGAATTGCCTGCTATATATAAAATTTAGTCCCCACGTATGTCAACTATAAGTCAGACACGATCCCTGCAACGGATGTACTAATTATTACGAGTACTTGATTTAGGGATTTATTTACATAAGCTAAAAATAATATTTTCCAATAAACGTTTGACTAAGTATTTTCACACGTTTTCATTTTCTAACTCATTAAAACTCAATTAGAATATTTAAAATATGTATATTAAACAACACATCTAATTCACCATGCAGATCCAGATGCCAGATCTTGTGATCATCTAGTCAAAGTCATGATCCCTAGTTTTATCATCCAATTACCTCTCTCTTATTAAAAGACCTATTCTCTAATCCAATACTGAAGATATGTATGCATTAGTAAATATCTCAGATGTTGAAAAATTGTCTATTTCTTAGTTTTAATGGGACTATAGAAACTCTCCTGCAATCAATTTCGATTATGGTTAGTTGCCGTTAAGCCCTTTTCGTGTCTTCAACCATCTTCAAAATATTCATTCGTCATTGTAAAATTCTCATTGTTGTGATTTCGCTTATTCCATAAGCAATAAACCCACTTGTTCCGTTAATTCATTTGTCGCGCGATCGATAGGCTACAAAAACTCCAACGTTCCCAAACTTATAATCAGTAATCCAGATGAGTTATCAAAGTACCTATGTTATCTGGACTTTTAACTCATGTGGTTACACTTGCATGGTGCAACACCGTAACACATCATAGATAAAAAGTTTTAATAATGACATAAATGACATTTTGTTGCATAACTGTGAAACAAAATTACAATTAATCGAGTGTGGTTTACGACATCCAGAAGATCTAAAATCAATCACTGAATCAAACAATAACTTACAATTAGAACTATATTAAAATACCATAAAACCACTGATTGATTAACGTTCGTTAAAATGTGCAAATAAATTCACTATGTTTCTCTCCCATCGCTTATTGCTAACACTTACGTTAGCGAATACTAAACATGTTTCCTCTTATAGTTATTCCTCTTACAATTCGATCACAATATGGTGGAACTTGCTAACAATCTACATGTTTATCTACTCACTTCACTTATTTAAGCACTAAAGTTGATTGTCGGTAAGTACGATTAAGTTCAAATCTGTCAAGCGTTCCAATCACCTGACTAATATCACAGTCTGATGCTTAAATCACATCTCAATTTTTGGTTAACACGGCTTCTAGCTTCATTTTTGAAGATTGACTGATTATTGGTGTTAATCAAAAAGTTATTTTCACAACAATTCTATCTATTCTTCTTTAATGGTATGAAAACTAAAATCACTTTTTTTAATTTCGAAAAGGTGATGATCCAACGTAGTCCGCCGGAAAATGAATTCACCATTGATTGGATAACTTCGGAAACTGACAATTTTACATCTCGACCTTTCCATCCTGCAATATCTAAACGAATCATCCTTAAACCTCTCCATGGTAGATCTCTCATGAAGATAACCTGGATACCTATTCGCGATTCTGTCTCGAGTGGTGTTTACAGTTTTCATCATTTGATTCAGTTTCGTGTTAATGACGCTTACTTTATTCAGGCTGTCATTGTCGGTCGTTTGTTACCACCTGAAAGGCCTAGTCGTTCCAAGGTATGACTCAAGCAAACAATGATTAATCATGTTTGAAGTAGTTATAAATATAATTTGTTTACCATAATTTACCATAACATTGATTTGTCGATGTTGGTGAATAAATACATAGTGCAAACTGGTTTAGATTCGTTGCTGGCTTTATCTTATTTCGTAAGCAACGACTGAGTAGTTAACATGATTTTTAGAATGTAAAAAGACCATCAATTTTTACCTAACCCACATTTTATCACATAAATCTATATAATGTAGCTAAATTGTACCTTATTTTTGCCAATCGAAAAGTGATCTGACATCACAGAACGAGTCTGTGTTGTCGTCCGAAATTGAGTAGTAACACTAACTCTATATTACTGTCTTAGTATTTATTTATTGTAAAAAATCCTGTATAATTTAAATATTCTTCTGAATGTATTTTACTATCTAGTGTACTGCCTATAATCCGGTGTATCAACTAATATTTTTCAAAATCATTTTGAATATCCTAGTGAAGAGTTTGAGTACTTGTTTCGTTTCTTACCTATTTTATATGAAGTGTCTGAATTTATTATCTACTAAACAGTATCTAAATCTTTGGAATTTCATTGTCATTCAGAATGTAACTAGTTTAATCAACGTTGTGTTAATTGAACCCAGCAATATATTTGTCATACTTATAGTAGGAATATACAGGAAGTTTACTTTCTTTTTTGATCTTTTAGTTTCTTGCGCCTAGAAAAACAATAACTAATCGATTTCCCAATTTACCCGCTTGGACTAAAACTTCTTCCTCCAGTTCGTCTGCATACTGTTCTAAAAATAAGATCAAAAATAAACCTGTTGACTCACGTGTAAGCCGTTCAATTTTTAAATTGATTTCGATTTCTAGTTTTATTATTTTGTTCATCAGTTGGACTGATAAAACTATATGATGTGGCAATGTTTTCAACACCAATTGTTTATGAAATTGTGTACAAGCTCTTTTTTTCATGAAACTTGCTGTTCACTAGTAGAAAAATCCAATATATCATCATTATCCGTTATATATGTTTTCTGTATGTGTGAAAGCGCTGTTACACACTATTTCCAACCTTTTATTAGGGAATCAGATACGATCATTCTACATATCTGTATAAGTGGTGTGTAAGAAAGTAAATTAATTTATAATTCTTTTATAGAGATCCTCTATATACAATTATCAAATATTCTATTGATTGATTGTTTAATCATATATTTTACTATAAACTGGTAAATCAACTCATTGTACGCTTCGGTTTGAGCACCAGGGCAGTATCACAGCCCTCACACATATCAAATGAGATCTGTGTGGCGCATATCTATTTGGTGCCTACTTGTACAAATATCTGTGTTAAAATAAATAAACGCTCATTACAATTCCTTTAACTCTTTGGAACTTTTATGTGAGGGTTGTAAGTTGTTAAATCCCAGTATGGGAGTCCTCAACAGTCTACACATACGACCCCAATAGGCATCGAACTTAGAACCTTCAGGTTCAATGCTCCCGCGTTTTCAGTAGTTCTTCAACTGCAACCAATCTGTAACAAAAACAGTTTAAAAATTAAACTGATCTTTACAAAACCTGTTGATCTAAACTATAAATCGAAGTACTTTTTAAGTATAAATGGGACTTCCTTTTGAGTAAAACTATATGTATGTATATTTCTACTTTTGGCCTAGTCCATTTCTCCAATATCCGAAATTCATCGTCACATATCTTCTTCATTTTCTACACGACCTACAACCGTCTTTGGTCAAAGCTGTGATTTCAATGATCTCACCACTTCTAGCTTCACATCTGAAAGACCTCAGAATACAGATTTTTGTCGTCCACACGCAATTGAAAAATCATTTATCGATGAATTAAGTGCAGACGACTTTCTACGTAAGTATCTATAATAATTACTGTTGCCTTATTTTGTATATTTGTGAAGACAATTACCAAATATTCACTGAAATAATGTCAGAAAACATCCAGGGATTTTCCAATGTTCCTTTCATAATTTTCATCGACTTATCATCTTTATTAACCAATCAGATAACATTTTTGAACGAAAGATGTGAGCGATAGGAGTAATATCAATATACCACTTGAAGCTGCTAATAGGACTTTATTTATTTATTTGACAAATAAGTCAATAATGAAGTGGTTCAACCCATACCTTAACTTTACAAAAGGCCGAAATGGCTTACAATAAGTCTCAAGGCTAATCCATTGCTACATCATAGACCGACTCCCACAAAATCTAACCCTTTTCGATATGACTTGCACCAGTATACAAATTATCACTTCTTGTTTCTCATTTATTACCATGTAACCGTTGGTTGTTACTCATTCTTCAAGCTTTCCTTCATATGGTAGACGATAACATATAGTGTGTATTCCTAATACAAGCATGTTTCTACCGACTCTCTTTCCTTTAAATTATTGTGTGTTACAATGGTTCTAATATAACCTTGATGTTTATTAATCTGTAGCCGTAGTGTTGATGAAATTCTAGTATTTGGAGTAGTATTATACTTAATTGCTGTTAATCTGTCATTACTATTTTGTAAAGTTAAAACAACAGAAAGTCGACGTCGATCAAGTTCACAGCCGACAAGTGCTACTCCCACTAGAAATCTGTCTATTTTTGGTAGATTTCATGAGATGAAGGAGCTGAGTTCGTCTATACAGTCAATAACTGGATCAAATAAGTTGTGCTCAGATACGAATTTAACTACAGATGTGAATTTTTTGAATTGCACTGCTACAGCGTTTGTTTCACCGAAGCTTGTACGTTCACCTGCTTTGAAAGGAGGTAATATTAATGTTTTCATTAGTTTGTTTTTATTCTATTAACCAATTCTTACACACCATTCACGAAATTCTTTTGCAGATTCTGACCCATTGACCGATTTATGTGCGAAATGTAAAGACAGGTCTTGTCTGGAATACAGTACTACGAAAGGAAAAAATAATAATAACTCGTTAGGTATATTAACGTCTGTTACGCCGCCAAGATGCAGCAAAGTATAAAGCATGTCCGTTAAATGTAATGACTAAAAAACTTTGTTATGTGTTGAGGCTTATAGGACTCTACAATGCTGTGTTAAACTTTTACCAGCGATCACCAAAGAATTGAGCGCTATACTTCTATAGAAGTCAAGATATTCAGACAAGGTGTCAATTGGTGGCATATATAATAGGGATTACACATAACAAAGGGAAAATTACTACACGAAGTACAAATGAAAAATTGTGTAAAGGAAATTTTACAAATGTTTGGGATTAGCAGTCTAGTAAAATGACTTCATTTACACCTCATTACCCCTCATGAAGCATAGGCCGCCTACTAAAATTCTCCAACCAGCTCTGTCCTGGGCTCCCCTTTCCAGTTGTCTCTAATTGCTATACATTCCTTTGATGTCTGTCTCCGATTCCCGGCACAATATGTTATTTGATCTGCCTCTTTTCCTTTTGGATTCAGAATTCCAAGTTACGGTTTGTTTCGTGATGCAGTTTGAAGACAAATCAAAGTTGAATGAACATAAACTACCGAATATCAATAAGTAGCACAGTGTGTTTTACAAAAAGTACCGAGTAAGGGAGATGGCAAAACTGATTTAACACTATTAAGGCGACTGTCTTCCACTTTATTCATAGAATGATAATCCTAAATATATATTAAACAGTCTTCATGGTACAGTGATATAGCATATAGTTTTGAATGGTCGATTCTGAATCAGACATTAAAGAAGGACATTATAGCAACTCACGTTCAATTGAGTTTGTTCACATTTAATTCGGTTAAGTCATTTTGTTAACTTGTTAACAAACTAAGTCATCCGTACAACAACAACTTATCTATATCATTGTATCTTTATTATTGTTGCGAATGTATGAACATGTATGCTTGAGCATTGCTTACTGCCTACTCATTTATTCAGGCTACTAGTCTTACTACTAACCGCTTAATTGATTCGATGATTCATTCATTTCACTATTTATATATATGTCCATGTTATTCATGTTCATTGCTCTCTCTCTCTTTCTCGCTTAATTGTACTCGCTTACTCGTACTCATATTCGCTGACTCGCTCGCTTGCCTGCTTGCCTTTCGGCACAACTCTTTCATGCTTGTTTAACGCACCTGTAATTTTGGATATATGTGTATATGGTCCCATAATAAACATAAACAACACTTCGTATAAGCCTTCTGATTAATATACCGTTTGGGCGTTATCTAGTGACGGTTATCAAGACGAACTGTATACTAAGTTTAAGGATTATATGGAATACAGACGACCACAACACCATGATTCTATGACTAGCATAAAAGATGGTTTAACGTATAAGGTTATGATTCCAAAGATCAAGATTTCATTCCAAAGTGAAATATGATGAGTAAGTTAATAAACGAATTATAACTTGTTAAATAAAAACAAAGTGAGTTCCACATGAATGCTACACATCTCATGTATTCAGTGATATGAGGCTTCTGTTTTCAGTCGGATGCTCCCCAACTATCATTGCTATAATTGTACCGATTAAAGTAATCACCTTTATGACTTGATTACATATTTTCTAAACTCATGATTTGTTTGTATTCCGTTATTAAAAACAGTACAAACGTTTACGATAAGTTATTCCACTAAATTGAAATTATAATTTAAAAATACAATCTGGACATCTTAACCTTATCGCGTTTGTATCTTCAACATCTGTGAATCATTTTTACCTCTACACTATGAATCAAGCGGTTTATCATAAGAGTTCACTCTGTTCATACACTTCTTACAATACAATCAATATTGTATTCCTAATACAAGCATGTTTCTACCGACTCTCTTTCCTTTAAATTATTGTGTGTTACAATGGTTCTAATATAACCTTGATGTTTATTAATCTGTAGCCGTAGTGTTGATGAAATTCTAGTATTTGGAGTAGTATTATACTTAATTGCTGTTAATCTGTCATTACTATTTTGTAAAGTTAAAACAACAGAAAGTCGACGTCGATCAAGTTCACAGCCGACAAGTGCTACTCCCACTAGAAATCTGTCTATTTTTGGTAGATTTCATGAGATGAAGGAGCTGAGTTCGTCTATACAGTCAATAACTGGATCAAATAAGTTGTGCTCAGATACGAATTTAACTACAGATGTGAATTTTTTGAATTGCACTGCTACAGCGTTTGTTTCACCGAAGCTTGTACGTTCACCTGCTTTGAAAGGAGGTAATATTAATGTTTTCATTAGTTCATTTTTGTGCGATTTTGTTAGTAATGAAAGGATTTACCAGTCACCGTCTATCACACTCATAATTTTTCTTATAAAGTTTTTTTTCTTGCACAAGCATTCTCATCTACTTGATGCTCTCATATCCAGTTTGAACACAGATCTCTCAATCATTCTTATTCTTATAGTTCATAAAAATCTTCTTGAATGTCGTTTTCGATGTACCTCCTATGCAAAGAAGAGCATTATGCCGATGCAATATTGAATTACTTTATTCTTAAGAGTTTTGACAAATGAAAGTATTAGTAGCGTGAAGTGCTAATTACCATGATAAGCTAAAATAAAATATATCTTATATTCCTGATATGATTGTCCTTCATTACTTTTGTGGATCAGTAATGCAGTTTCTTAGCTCATTAAGCAGGTACAAGATCATATTCTTGACCTTGGTGTTCTTTTTATCTGATGCCTAATAATAATACATCTTAAAATGATTTAGTTTGGATTCACAGCTGTAACTGAGTGGAGTGATCTAATCACCATACCAGCCTATCAGCTTTTAACTTTTATAGGCTGATGTTGTAGAAGTATACGAACGTTGGCTACTGGAGAAATAGAACTATTTTTGTTATGCATTGTATGCCATTTACTTTGAGAAAAATAAGGACAACCAATCATTTATCCTCTTCGTCGTTTTCAATTGTGAAAACTTGCTTAATGGAACAAAACTATTGTTAGAAGTGTAGTCTAATAAAGGTCATTAAACATAAATGACGTCATCTATGATAATTTATTACAACCGCGACATCCAAGATACTTTGTTCGTATTTGTAAGCAGACTTTCATGGATCATTTTTGTTCATTAATGTTGACTGAAGTGCGAATAGTAATAGTTTCCCTATCGTTTTAACAAACTATAAGGTTATTGCTGTGATTCCGAACTTAACATCGTAACTTAATCATTGTCCTATTCCTCTTAGCTCACCTTTCTTTTTGCTTACCTCTGTTGTATTGTGTTTCTTTTTTCCCCTACTTTTGAAAGTAACAAATTCCACTCCTTTTCCCTGTCACAGATTTCCTCATATTTTGTAGAAAGACGTACACTAGTGTCATATTTCAAGTTACTTTTATCCGCGTCTCTGAATAAAACTTCCAACAATCATGATGCGTGTAACTGAAGGCAATATTGAGGCAATCCTCACAGGATTCACATACACCAAAGAAGACTGATCAGTTGCTGTCCTAAACACTAATGGGAAGGTTCAAATAACCAATACAAATGAATTAAACTTCAGCCTATTGCAAAAGTCAGTATCGAGGTGGATAACGGGATAGTGTATGAGGGGAACAGAAGTTGGCTCGGGTGAACATTTACTCTGAAACCCAGGTGCATTCATCTGACGAGTCCCAGCTAAGACAAAACACCCGTTCTTGATTCCACTACTAGCCACCATCTATATCTGCTTATAATGCTTGTGACTTAACGTGTTATCGCGCCAATCCGCACACGATTCATATATACCGAAAGATCAATTAAAATAATGAACATCAATGTAATTTTTCAAACAAACATTACAAACAAATCATAATCTGTTTACGAATATACAACTAAGATATTAAAAGATGTAATTTGTTAATTAACAAGGGCTATTCTGATTCTGATTCCTACTAATATGTCATTAATTTTAAAACTTCATCTTCATGTTAATAATAACACTCTTAAAACGTTTTTTTAAATATTTCTTTTAAGAACGTTCGATCATTTCAAAGTATGCTCATGTCATGGGTGTTTTTTCAAGAATTTCAAAGAAACCTACTCCTTAAAAAATGAAAAGCGTATATCTAAAATATATGTATATGAAAACGATGTTTATACATTAGCTTAATAAGCATTTCCTCTATATCTGTTCATCATTTGCATGATTTAAATGTTGGCAACTTTATATGGTTTTTTCCTAACCTACCTACGTTCAATTGTTTTGCATTTCTAGCACGTAGATATTCTTTTTCCGTAATATTTATCTCACTTATTGTTACATCTCAATATTCGGGGTCTAGTACTAGCCTACAATACTTGTGGAGTTAGAAACAATTGAGCTACTGTAGTACGACCTATTTTATTACATAGATCGATAACGAAACCTAGCACACAACATCTCAATACTTGTCCATTAACACAGAGAGAAGACAAATTTTAGGAAAACTTGATATTCGAATACAAGTAAAGTGAAACGAAATGGTACAACTCTGTATGTATGGTAACTAAAACATAATAATCAAGCATACAGAATTTCGGCGAGCTGAAAGTTGTAACTACTAAGGAAAAGGCAAACATCGTGTGGAAAATTGAACTTTAAAAAAAACAGTCGTGGTTATCGTTTCTAGCGAGATTTCAGCATTTTTAACAAAACTTGAGTAATTTTGTAATCAACTTATTATCTAAGTCGTTTCTTATAATTGCATTTGAATAACTTACATAATTCTCATTTTACTGTTCTCACCTTCCTTCTCTACTACTTGTTGAAAAGTGCTAACCATTTGTGTCTATGGTTATTTCAGATTTAAATGGTCATCAACTTTTGTTAGTTATCGTTAATATTGCTCATGTAATTTTATTATTTAGACAGAAAAGCATTCGATTTTCATTTTTAACAAATGTATATATTGTACAGTATTTTTATATTCGCTTTGTTTTTCAGTTACCTGTGCACCTGTATCCACCTATAAAAAGAAACAGGATGGAAATCTATTTTACACTAACGTGACCTCTGTTTTATCTGACATGAGTGTTTATGGTTTGACTCAGTGGCTTAATGGTGTATTTGCTCCATGTATTGCAGCTAATAGTTACAATGGACTTCCAACGACCTCTTCCAAGGATATTTGTGTAGTTGGATCAAGTGTGTATCATTCAACAGTGGAGAAAGCAGTTGAATTACTGAATTCAACTATTATCATGACTCCTGGAGAACGCATAGAACGTGAAGTAGACAATGGAAAGCTAACACATGTCCAAATGCTATCATTTCGTGTTGATAAAGGTATGTATTAACCTTTTAAATAATGTATTTTCATTGTTACACTTTTGGGTATATAACGAGTATTCATAATTTTTTTTTCAATTCAAGGTTCCCAACGTCGAATTCAAGACCATTTGTTGCTAAATTATGCTCCAATCTGGCTTCATCTTACTTTGGATGCGTTAATAAGTTCTTCTTCGACTCAGTCTTCTTCATCAGTCACGTCACACAATGTTTGCTCTACAACTATACCAGAGATTAATGACCAACCCTACCCTGAGGATAACAAAAATGTATATACAAGTTGTTTATCTAAAAAGATACATAGTTACCTTTTTGATTCTTTCGATCTGAATAAACCAGTTTTACCAATTAAACCAGCTGCTGATAATAAAAAACTAAAACGGTCGTCTCATCATACAACTAGAAACGATACAAATTCGACAAAGCCAAGTAAGCTTAGTTACATGACTTTAAAGAGATAAGATATTTTGATATTTGGCCATTAAATTTGTTTCTTGTAAGTATTCCAGTCTCATACTGTTAAGTCAAAGTGATAAACATTAACTGTGACACCTTCTCAGATTTCGTGTTTTTCAAAATAATGTACACGCTAAGAAATTCGGTGTCACTGAGGACGTAGTCTTACTACCAACTGTACAGGGTTGTAACATCAGCAAATATTTCTCTTAAACAATCAGCATTTGCATTAATGCTGCCTTCCCACAATAAAAGGAGGAGATTAGAAAATATCTACTCTAAAAGTGATATTTCAACTTGTCCCTCAGATATCGTCGCTGGTGTTTAGATTCAATACGAACAGACCTAAGACATCAAAAACTTATCACAAAGATCTTGTGTGACCAGCATCAAGCATTTATCATTTGAGCACTGTCTATAGCATTAGTCCATGCAGTCATTGACTTTTAATCTGCACCACGTTACGAAATTCGGGTCCCTTCAATGACCGCGATCAAAAGCTCGAGACGTTGAATGATATTTCCTAAATTCAGTCATAATAGTGCAGTTGCATTTTCTCTCAATCTTAAATTTTTGTATCCTTTCATACGTACCTTTACATTCCTTGTCGGATGATTTTCTCAATATTTGATCCTTAATTATCATCACTAGTACAATTATTTCTACTCATTTGTCATTCACCTTGTTAACCTCATTCTATTGTGTTAAGGTAGTGTGACAACTTGAACTAACGGACATTTATGCCAGGTTCAATGTTAATTATGAATATTGTCACAGAAAATAAATATTTTTTTGTGAGCAATATAAATTCATTCATATACATTTATTGATACCTTGGTAATTTAAGCATGTAACTTGTGTATTTTGTACTCAATATTATACACATTAAATAATTAATACAGTTAAATATTGTTCAATTTTCATTCGATTACGATGTTGTGATAAAATATTCTGTGATACTTTAGGGTGTTGAAACTCTTAAACTTAATCTTCAAAATCTTCATTACGAAACGTCAAGAACTAATGTTCTGAATTATTGAACTGTCAAACAATCCCAAGCTAGTACTTCAGAATTCTCATTCTACGATACTACTTTTTGTATTTCATTGAAATCATAAACCGATATTACTTAGACCACCACTGAAAACCTAAATACACTGGACGGCCGTTTCGTCATAAAATGGAACTCCTCAGGAGTGCATACCGGTAATCCTGCATATAAGAATCGAATCCCATGACCTTAAGTCTCGCACGCGATCGCTTAGCCTCTGAACCACTGAGTTGGCATCCAACGGTGTTAATATCTAACCTCAACCAATCCACGATATTGCTCACTAGAGGTAATTCTCAGAGTTCTAGTAAGAAGCCATAACCACTGGAGTTAATCCGTGTCGAATGTAAGGCAGTTACCCACCGAAGATAATATTGGATTAGGGCTTTGAAGGGTGAGTGTTTGCACTAGACCGAAAGTTTTGGGTCCGATTCACACATGCGGGACCATGGATGCGCACTGCTGAGGAGTCCCATACTTTGACGAAAATGACCTTCCAGGTTTTCAATGGTGGTCTAACGTTGATCGGTTCATGATCACAATTTATATATATATATTCTTTTAAGAATATCTAATAACCAATAAAATTTGTTAGCTTTACTGAATATTTTCTATTTGTGTAATTTTTACAGATACATTACCAAACCGTGATATCCTCTATAATCGTCATGTGATTAAACGATTTATCATATTTATTTGGATTATAGACTGTTTTAAAAGGCATATGTTAATTAAATATGATCCATGCTTATTTCGCATTAAATCTGTCATTAAAGTAAGTTATATTTTTAACTGATAATAGAATTAAAAGATCATGTTAAGAGAAAAAGATGAAATAAACAATATAAACTGTCATAAATTAATTTAATAATACATTTTTATCATAAACAGTTTATGATAGTTTTATTTGAACACCACAAATTTATCTATAAACGTACGTTCTTCAAGTGATTCCCTTTAAAATAAACACTTTGTGGATTATTATCTAAATAAATAATGTCTCTTTTTCAGGAAACGGTGACGCTGATAAAAGACTTCGTTCTTTATATACTTCTTCTCTTCAGTCAAGTTAACATTATTTTCGATGGTTAAAATCATAAATCATTTGAAGCAGTGGATAGACGTTTCATTCTATTGTGGGACTCCTGGGTTCGAATCTTGCAAGGCGAGGTCGTGGATGCGCAGTGCTGAGGGGTCGCACAATAGGATGAAATGGTCGTCATGTATTTCCAGGTTTTCTTAAAATTATTTGCTGTGTTTTGTTGTTCAAACAGGCTAATTTAATGTTATGATTATCTCAGAATTCATAGTTAATATAATTATTTCTTTTCTTCTCTCTTTTAGTTATTGATACTTTTTTAATCTATACACTAGACATACACTTATTCACCCACTTATTGATCATTGATATTCATTTCCACATACAAAAGACGTTCTTATTCTTTGTATCAGAAAAAGTTCATGTGATCAGTTTTTGCTTACCAACTTTGTCAACTTTTTTTTAAGGTAGTGGAAAATTTCTTTCATAACTTATCTCTCCTCTTCATTCTGTTTGATGACTGCCAGCTCAAGTATCATTCAGTTGAATTTTTATCTCATTTCTGATTACCAAGTTACTTCTGTAAGAACCCTACTCTCTATAACTTCATGTTTTCGTTATTTTAATTGTATTGCCACAATGTCTAACTTTTTAAGTGTTATTCATAGTTTACTATACTTTGACTGCTTTCACATTCGGGTCTCATGTCAGTTCTATTTTGTAACCACACGTTTTTGCATAGACATACGGTCTTAGATTCAGACCTCAATAAAAATTACAACATATATTGAAGTACATGATTGGGTAATAGGATAATAGTAAATAAAATGAGGTGCGCCTACTTTAGCTCCACTACAAACCAACCAATATTTCGTTTATTTAAATATAATAATAAAGTCACAAACTGTATATTTGGGATTGTGGTCATATACCTTCAGTTTTTTTTTCAAATATAACCTTTATATGACAGTCGGTTTGTATCTTGTACGTAATTTTTAAGATTATTTTTTCTTTATCTTATTTCAGTCCTCTTCATCGCTCTTATTATGGTTTGCTCAAAATTTTCTTCATGGTGAAAATAATCTAGTTCGTCATTTAGCCTATCTAGGAGCACAAGTTACAGTAAATCAAACACCGCTAGATGAATATCAGTTTACTGTTGAAAACTTGGCTGTAGACTTAAGGGATGGTGTTCGTTTGGTGTGAGTTATACAGTATAATTAATAGTTATTTGTATTCTTTGCTGTACTTATTGAGTTTCATTGCATCCTGAATAAATACAATTTACATTTACGTATCTCCTTACTAAAATTTGACATGGTTATCTGTGTTAGAACTCATCGTTTATATTACAAATTTTTGCTCCTTAATGCATCCATCACCCCTAATGTTTTTTTATTACTATTTAGAAAACTTGCTGAATTATTAATTCCTACATTATCTACTGAGAAACCACCTACTGTCATCAAACCAAATAGTCTCATGTCTATGGTTCGATTCCCTGCTATAAGTCGCCTTCAAAAAATACATAATGTTGGGGTTGCCCTGAAATCGTTTGAACAATATGGTCAAATATCAATGGCAGACGGTATGTCTTTATAGTTTGTTGGTTTTACCTAACTTTTCACCGTATACTTTTATGTTCATTGAGGCTTCAGACCCGGTTCTGGCTGCATTGACCACATATTCACCAGTCGTCAGGTCCTAGAACATAGGCATACTGGTCGGCATCCGACAATGATAGTTTTTCTTGACTTGAAAGCAGCATTTGACTCTGTAGACCGAGAGATTCTGTGACAATGTCTTTCATTGAAAAGTGTACCTCAGAAGTACATAAACCTTGTAAAGGCCGTTTACTCGAACACCACCAGTAGAGTCAGAGCTTATGGCGAACTGTCATCTGATTTCGCAACCTCAAGTGGTGTCTGTCAAGGCTGTCTACTATCTCTATTTTTGTTTGATTTCGCGATAGACCTACTGTTCTCGTCGACTGAATTTTCGAGCATTAATCTCCTATCAGGAGCTATGCTTATCGATTTAGAATATGCAGATGACATAGTCCTGTTTGGTGAAGACGCTGATAAAATGCAGTCTTTTGGTAGCAACAATGCCAGGATGTTTGGGATGTGCTTCCACCCCTCTAAATTCAAGTTGTTGCTTCAGGACTGGCCTCCGTCAACTCCTGAACTAAAGATAGGGATTGAAGTAGTTGAACGCGTTGACAACTTCACTTATCTTGGAAGTCTGATCAACCCTAATAGGTTGGTGTCTGACGAAGCCTCTGGAAGGTTTGAGTCTGCATGACTATCGTAACCACTGGTTGGAGACTCTAGGTGACATGGCCCAGAATCGATCACAGTTGCGTAGTTTCATACACTCTCTGTCTTCCTTTAAACTATAAGATTAAAATCGCTTCATATCTTTCTTTCTACGAACTAATTCTCTCATTCTGTATTAGATCCTTATATGCAATCTTTCTTTTATATATTACCACCACTGAAGTAACTACTTCTGTGAATTCGGTGTTCATCTTGTTGTGTCAATGAGGTATGGCAACTTGAACCGTTGCAATATATGTGCGTGGTCCTACACTGTAGCTGACTGACTGACTGTTAGCGCATAAACAATGTCACTGATTTAACTATATTACTAACATGTCCTTCATATGTGCTGAAAAACGTTCATCCTTCATCATCTATCTTTTTTCATAACAAAGTAATGTATTTATTTATCGAGTCTACTAACTTTATAAAGTTCTACCCAGTCAATAGCCTTTCCTTTGAGTTTTATAATATGTAATGGATTCGTAACTGTATAATGCTATTATGATCCTAATATTTCCTTAGTTGAAGTTCGATAAGTTTTTTTATGCAAGTTCTTATTGTATAAATAGTTCACAGCGTTGTCCTTGTTTATCACGGTTTATAATTTAGGTATTTTAGACCTAACTACAAGCCGAGTGGTAATGCATGAATCATAATGCGATAGCGAAATATAAAGTTTAGCAATAAATTTGAACGCTTTCGACCCTAAAATATAGTCATCAATGGGCATACTTCGTGCCTCCACTTTAAGCTTCTTCGGGCCATCATATCAGATGCAGCTAGTCCCCGAATACACCTCCATCATTTTATCTCCGAAGTCGTCAAGAATAATTGATCTGATAGATACTCGAAATCCGCCGTACATTGTACAGTAATCGTTCCGATTGCTAGGTAGCGTCCTCCAGTCTCCCTCTGTCTACTTCGGTTTGGGCAATTGAGTAATTTCACTATCCTTCACATATAGTATGTGTCTCCAAGTAGAGTATGTGATTCTCTACCTGGTAAACAAGTTACATCTATTCATCCGTTAAGTTCCACTTAAACTTGAGCCTAACTTGGCATCCACTCTTTTGAAACTATATTTCTTACGTTTAGTGTTCGACTATCACTGATATTATTTTCCAATTTTTCACTATATCTGTACTGATGTGATGTGTAATAACTTGGACTGATGCAAATTTATGAAAATTCTTGCTTTGTTTATAGATGAGTAACTCATAAGTGTGTCACTTAATTATTGCTACACCAACTACGTTGCTTGAAAGTGTCAATGGTGTATTTATAATAGCTACTCATTGTATTATTCTATAGTGCACCAAATATATATGTTTTTTACAGTTCTTTGCTTATATTTTGTTCTTACTTAAGGGAGCTTAATTGATCCTCGTGATATTGTCGATGGACATCGTGAAAAAACCCTTACATTACTTTGGTGCTTATTGTTACGTCATCAGGTTCTTGCCTTACTTGACCATTCCGCATTAGAAAATGAAATTCACACTCTTGAAACAAATATCAATTCATCCGATACAAATATGTGTGTGAACGAATTAAATCATCTAAAGTTAAATATATCTACTGACAATAATGTAAAAGACGACAAAAACCATATGGCTCACTTCAAATTACTGTATTGGGCTTCTTTAGTTTGTCATTTGTATAATGTTCCAGTAAGTTAAAGTGTGTGAACTTCCTTTCAAAATTTTTACGATTTCATAATATCAAAAGGTTTTCATGGTGTCTAGACAATTTGTAACACTTTTTACTACTATCCTTTAATTCCAATGATAATCGGGATTATTTGAATTTGAGTACTAACAACTATTTTGTAAGTCACTCTATTATAGTTCATAACCTCATTGATAACTATTTTGATTACTTTCTAGAGCCTACAAAAAAGTATCACTCTGTTAGTTTTTAACTTATACAGTTAAAAGAACTGTATCTGACAGTATACGAAGCATGTTGTAGTTTGTCAACTTGGCTCGATCCATATTAGTCTTCGATTTTACGATTATTATAATTCATGGCATCTACTGAACAATCATAACATTTTGCTAATTTATGATGACCACATTTTCTAATCCCATGAAATTTTTTATTTGTTTAAAACACGTGACTCTTCGTTGTATTTTCATCTTTTTAGGTTACTAGTTTAGATGAATCGTTTACAGATGGTAGAGCATTATGTTATCTGTTGCACCATTATTTACCAACTGTTTTACCTCAAGGTTTAATTCGCCAGTGTACAACGTATACTAATAATAATCTATCGGTTCCACTGCCGAACCACTTACTTATACGTAACAATCTGTTCAATTTATCGTTGTTTCAAAAGAAGGTAGGTTTTCACCCTCTTTTTAATTAAGTTAAGGAAAAAATTTATTTTATTAAGTTTATTGATTCTTGGTGTGATTTTTTTATATAGCGAGCCATCATGTAGTTATTAATTGGTGTTTTGAAAGAGCATATAAAGTAAACCTTGGAAATAATAAGCTAGAAGCTTTAAGATTGTTCAAATCATATCTCTAATCTTGGGCTAATTGCCTACTAGTAAACCCTGTCTTGTAGTCTAGTACGCAAATCTTTATTCAGTATTTTCTTCATAGCTTTCTGTCATTGTTTTTAAATTGTTTGATAACGGAAATCTAAAGAGTTGAGACATAATTAGTGACCCCATGGATCAATGCTCTGTTTTGATCCAGTCATTATAATTTTTATAACTTAATTCTATTTCATCTCGTATCGTACGTGAATGAAGATCATGACTTTCATGTGTAGCACATGAGTCAATTATCTCATTTAAACTCATCTACTAAACAACCTACTTTCTGTATATAAAATCATCATTGCCCATATGTTAATTTGAGAAGAGATGGTGAGCAGTGTTGTGAAAAAATCGATTATTGAATACTTGTTATGCACACATGCTCTACACTTTCAACATCTACTGTTGCAAGCTAGTCAGAAAAATTATGACACGTACATTATATTCTGTCTTGATGTTTTCTATTTCTGAATTATTATTTATTTCTGTATTATCCAGCTCTCAGTGCTAGGTGATGTTCCACTGCTTCTTTCTACTCCAATTTCATCGGCTAATTTTAGTAATATTCTTCCACCTGGATTAGTTATCACTATTTTAGCGTATCTGGCTAACAGATTGGTTGTTGGTCCTTCAGATAAACATAAATTAAATCTTCTTATTCGTGATAATGCTGCATGTATTATTCAAAATGCCTGGCGCCGTTTTCAAGATTATATTAATTTCTCTAAGTTAAAATTAATACCTTATGGAAGGTGAGTTTAAAGCTTAAAAGTTTGTTAATTGTAATTGAGGTGCAGTTTTTATTGTATTGTTCTACTGATTGTATTGATTTACTTAACATTGTCAATTTCTTTTATATAACTATCATTCTACAGACATATTCCATATAATTTATTCATATCTTCTGGAATGATGAATCTCTCGAAACCCATTGAACTGATTACCTTGATATTTTTCGACAAATCGAAATGAAACTATATGTTTATTTGTTTGGCGTATTTTCTTAGTTCTCCTTATTGTTTCCTTTTTTGACAACTGATGAAGCCGAGCCTATATACATATAATATTGTTTGTCTGAAAGTTATAGATATTCATTTGTTTATTTTCATTCCATTAGTATATAAAATAAAATTGTAATTGTACAAAACTTAAAGTTGAATAGTAAGGTAGCATTTAAGAAAATCAATTGATTGTTTTTTATCTTCCTCCATTTTGACTCGTTGATTTTAAATTAATGAACTGTAAGAAAGTTATATTTGGTGTATGTAGTTAATATAACCAAGGGGATATAATATATTAATCGGAATGAATTTTCACTGATGATACACATATCAACAATAAATATGATTTATATACCTTACTTAGTTGCGGAATATTTGAATACAAAACCTGACTTGTACCTCTGAAGAATTAATGAAAAAAGCCACTATTTATATACACTTAAACAACCCAAAATTACAGTGAGAAAGGGATTACATAATTTGTGTTGATTTGTTCAACAAGAGAACAGATTTGTAGGTTTTTAGTCGTTATAGATTGATCTCTACAAAATTCCTTTAACTAAACAGAATAGATTGTTCATTAATGTTGTCCTGACTGCATAATAGCATAAGTCAAAATCTGAAGTTGACCAATTTCTACCTGATTGAATATGATTTATAGCTTAGACCATTCATATCAGTAGTATATGCTTAATATTTAACAGTAAGCCGAAAATACATTTACACTGATATTTTGAAGGTGTTACTTAATTTTACCTGATGGCTTTCTAATTACTTTTAGGGAATGGCGTAATGAAAGAAAGAGAATCAAAGTGAGTCTATGAATTCAAAAAATGTGATGACAAATTAATGTTTTTTCTTTATACTTTCTGCATTAAAAATCTATTTACATTTTCATTGAATAATAGATCTTGAAGATTATGGACATATAATACACTAATATGTGGTTGTTCTTTTCTGTAGCTAGACAATACACTGTGGAATTCATTTGTAATATATAAGTTTTCATGTAATATATTTTCATAAACAGTAGTAAGTCGCTTTTTCAGAATCATTATACAGTTCAGTCTTTATTCACTTAATCCCGTCGATCAATCTCAAGTATCTAACACACTCGTATTTATAAATATCTGCTTTGGAATGAGGCAGTAAGCTTCGCTTTACTACCATTAAAACAATTTTAAATTGTTGGATCACTGCTCTCAAAATAGTTTCATATAGTTTTGTTATGGCAGCTGGATTATATATTTTATTTTGTAACCAAATTCATAAACCTTTGGTTATTTCTTTGTGGTTGGTTTGTATTGATGCCTTTTTTTAATATTCTTTTTACTGTCAGTATTAGTGGTTGTGATTTATTGTCCTTACATATTTCCGATTTCGTTAATTAATCGTTCTTATGAAATCTAAGCTGGTTGTTGAATCAATAAACTTCAAACTAATGAATTCCAAAGTCTAGCTCAATTCAATTTCTTCAGCCGGATAGGAAATTTTACTTGTACATATAAACTGTGGCTTGAAATCGACGAATAGACATGAGTTCCTGAGTTATATTAAAATTTGTAAAAATCACTCTTTTTTTTCAAATTATTCCCTAATCTTGCTAGTGCCCTTTCGCTGTTAACAGGCTTTGTTAATTTGAACTAATGAATATGTACTTATTTTCTACGTTATTTTATTTAGTACTTGTCCATTCACACTATTTAGTCGTGGCGCGTTTCAAAAGCCAACTCATGTAATATTTAAGTCTATACATCTTGTTTAGCTGTTATTGATTAGGTCATTTTATATTTCGTGATGAGTTTGGATAACACAAAAGTTACTGGTTGATAAACTGTGTTATGGCAATCCCTTGAAACCTAGTGGTTATCCCGGTAACTCAAACACATTGTCAGAAGAATATGATCGCGACTCTGTTACTAAATGGTTATTTTTTAAAATCTTTTGATGAATCATCCATCATTCTTCCATTTTGTTTCTAACATAAATGTTGCACAGGCCCTAATTACTCTGATATTTCAAACGATGTGCCCATACTTTTCTAACATCTTTTCAGGCATGCATTACTATCCAGGCATTTGTACGTGGTTATCTTGTTCGTAAACAAGTTGTACAGATCAAATCCTTGAGGAACTCTGCTGCAATAATAATCCAATCTTATGTTCGTCGATTTTTAATTCGATGTTATTTTGAACGCATTCACCAATCCGCTACCTTAATCCAGAGCGCTTGGCGTGGTTACCAAGCGCACCGAAATTATACCCTATTGAAAAAGGTCATTTCAAACTTTGATTATTCGTTCATTTAGTTTATTTGCTGACATACTTTCAGACACGTCATAGTAGTGTAAACATAACCTGTTATTATGAAACTATTAATTCGTAAATATTGAAACTGAGTGTGGCTTAGTCGAAATGATCAAATAGCTATTCATAGATAAATCTAGTAAATTGTTGACTGCTAAACTGTCCCAAGGAAACAATATCCAAATCTGTTTGTGATTTATTCAATCACAATGATATTGGTTGCGTGCCTTCGTGGAACTTTGAACTAGTAAAAGATGGTTATTTCTAAAGGTTTTTATTTTCCTTTTGTCGAGATCAAGAACTACAATCGATCAGTTTCTATTAGTAGACTCCCTCGATATTGCCATTTGATCATAAGTTCTTAGTAAAGTTAGGGAGTGGCTAGCGGTGAAATCCTAAACTCGGATTTCGTCCCATTTGGAACTCATCATTGGGATATATAGCCGATGAACACATAATCTCAGTGGGTAACGTGTCGGCGTCTGAATTGAGTGGTACTGGGTTCGATTCTCTGAGTAAACATCAACATAAACGGATGTTTATTTATTTATTGCTTTAACACATAGAAATTGGTACAAGGAAGCACCAAATACATATGCACCACACAAATCTCATTCGATATGTGTGGAGGCTGTGATACTGCCCGGGTGCCCAAACCGAAGCAGGTGGTTTTCTTAGGGGGCCACTCCCCGAGCCTTCAACCTGAAGGTCTGATCCACAAGGCAGTGGAGCATCGTAAAGAGATGCAGTCCCATGGAGGCCGGTGACCAACAGGTGGTTCATATGCCATTTGTTCCCGCAGGATACTGGAGCCCATGTACACCACTGGTTTGAAATCAGAGTTTTCCAACTCCCCCAGGTGGACTCTCCATGTCCACCGACCCGGTTAAAGCGCCGGACATTCGCTTTTCGTCCTCCCATTTTCGTAAACAACACCCGTGGTGCGAGAAGGCAGTGAGTAGGGCTTCCCTGTCAGAGGCTATATACGCGTGGCCATGTGAGAGCATTCGGAGAGGGTGAGCGGACTCTCCTCACTCTCGGCCGTATCAGGGCATTTGGGGGCCAAACGCATTTATATTTAGCTGATAAGTCTTAAGTAGGATGAAACGCATATCATGGATTCCACTAGTACACATATATAGAGAGAGTGTATGTGTGCAACTGTAAAATATGAATGATGAGTGAATCAGCTTCATAGTCACTTAATTAATCGTAAATTTACTGATCGGAAAAGACCAATGTGCTTGCTATGACCTTGAATCGCTTTTACCCCGTTGATACTTGTTATGACTCGATCTTGGTCTGTCTAGTCCAAATTATGACCTTGACGCGATAGGCTGAGCGGCTTAACCTTGAGTCTAGTACGCGTGTGTTCGAGATGGGGTAGAGAGATAACTACTTTAGAACCTGATTGGTTGGCAAGCACGCAAGTGAGAGAGAAGACAAGACAGTTGGAACACTGAACTCTGGATTCTCTGAATTCGGACTAGTACAAAAATGTACCTGAATAAATAAGTGGATATCTTGACCACGACGTACGATAATTTGGAAAAATACAGTTATGCTCGAAACTGGGAATTAGGGTAGAAAATACGGTGCAAAATATTATGTTTAAATTACAATATTTTCGGAACAAGAAAGGGTATGGTAGTGAATAATACATAGAACGAAAGCTCATGTTATGTAGAATAAGATAGGGACAAAAATAAATGTGTTTTACAGGGTTTTAATGAAATGAATTAACGTCCCAAGAAAATGGCTTTCGTAGTTGTCTGGGCTTCTTAATTCCTCGTTCACAACAGTACTATTTGTACTTTAAAGACTTTCCCCTTATTGTTTGTCTTTTGCATCTCATACTTAAATGCGTATACGAAGGACCAGAGTTAAAGTTTCACATACAACCACTGTTTCGTAGATACTGTGTGCACTTGCTAAGCACACTAGCCCAACCCTCTTCATGAATGAGAAGATCAAGAATAAGGAGGAAGCTGTTATTGAAAAATCGAATGAGTTTACACAAACCAATGGTGTATATATACATTATCTGTCCCTCGGATATACCAACAAAGTACGTCGCTGGCTTTATCTAATGGCCCATCTCGTTCGTTATCGTTCTATCTAATGTATGACCTTGAGGACGGCTTATGAGCGAAAGCATGTTATAATTCTGAATTCCCCCAATCTATTACATTTGTTTCTTCCTTTTGTCACCCAAATGTTGAGTCCACTGACATGTATTTTGGCTATTATAACAAAAGCCGTTCACAATGGCATTTGTACTTCTGTTTTGTGCATCGTAATTTCGCTCTTTATCTGTGAAATTCTTGATTGTGTTATCAACAACTTATTGGCATCATGTGTTCTATAGACTTTACTATCCTATCATGAAAGTGATTTATACCTGTTCGTTCTCTATTTTTCCACTTGAATACTATAGTCCTGTATTATACTGCAAGCATTTTCACGTGGATTCCTAGCCCGTAGATATGTTGCACAGTTACAAGAACATCGAAACAAATCAGCAACAATAATACAATCTCATTTCCGTAGATTAATTGTTCAACGTAGCATAGAAAATTGGCATAAGTCAGCTATTCAAATTCAAAGTGCCTGGCGATGTTATCACATTCATCAAAAATATATCATCTTAAAACATGTGAGTCTTTTTATTCGATCATTACTATGTCATATAATGATTTGTTCACATTTCTACTTTGCTATATTGTGACGCGGACAGATTTAAGTAGTGTGTAGCAGGAATTGGAAGTGGGATGTTTACCACCAGAAGATTAAAATAAAGTGAAAAGGAAATAAAATAGGAAACAATTGGAAGAATGATAGAGTATGTAAACGACAACTCAATGAAGATATCCAGATGATGGGTTTAATGCATTATTTCCATAGTTTACAAAGATATTGTTTTGTCTTACATAAAACAATAATTTGGCTAACCGTACCTAAGTTTTCGTTCACTACAATATTAATAGACGAAATAAATAGAATCTATTTTTTTTAGACAATTAGATTGTATAAATAAAGTAGTGTATTTGTAATATTCCCAATGAGTAAAAAAAAATTAAATTTTCTGACGTTTCGTGACTCATTGGGATATTACAAATATGCTATTTTATTTATAACAATCTACCCAATGCTCAATTTATTCGAAATTATCAAGTCAAACCGTGCTAATGATACCTACATATTAGATTGTATGTCTTGCTATCTAAAGAAGCTCAGAAAGTCATCTTGAAAAGATTCACTTTGAATATTTTATCTACTATGTAACGATATTATTCTCATTTTTATTCACTTTTTTCTCATTAACATTTATACTGACAATTCTGGTAACTAGCTCTCTTGTTTATGTGGTCATTCCGAGTGCTTTATTCCAATATTGCTTAGTAGTTACGAATCACAAGTGCAATTTCTTTCCGGTGTATAATATTATCACTACTTAGTACGTCTGTCACTGTATTAAAAACGTTTTGCACTCTTACATCATAAATTACTGAGCCTCACTAGTATTCATACATTATTCTCACTTTATTCGTGTAATTCCTTTGTTACAGCAATTCTTTGGGTATCCTTAGCTCTTAAACCGATCCATCCACACTAATATTCTGCACACCAGATTAAGATCATAAGAGTATTCAAAGTGATTTAGATCGACGTAGGTCTGTTGTAGAAGTAATTTACACTTTAGTAATACGAAGTAGATGTAATACTTGTAGCTATTATTCGCTAACTGACTAAATGTCGTATAATTGAAATTTTTGACTTAGGTGGATGATTTTGATGGAGTTTATTGAAATACATTGGGTGCTATCCCTATGTATTTCGTGACAGTTTCGGACTAAAATTGATAGTGGAAAGTTCAGGGAGTAACCACCCATAAAGCTACTTTTTAAAGTTCCATTGCTGAAACAGTGCCACTATACTCACATTAATTAGTGATCTTATAATACCTGCATCAATAAACATACTTGTTCATAAAATAAAATTTAGTTGGTAATAAATGCTACCACTACTTTCCTGAATTTCTTAGGCATGTCTAACAATTCAACGATATGTACGTGGGTATTATGCTCGTAAATTTGTTATGGAAACACGTTCTAAAAGGACTTTGGCGGCCACCGTGATACAATCGTATTTCCGAAGTTATATGGTCAGACTTGAGATTTTCCATTGGCATATGGCAGCAGTTCAAATTCAGAGTAAATGGCGTAGTTATTTCCATCGAAAACGATTCCTATCTTTGAAATCGGTAACTTTCTGTTTGTGTAAACCTGTAGTTGATTAAATCGTGATGTATAGTTTTACTAAAACTCTTGAAATATTAAACAGCTTTTTGATTCGTAGTGTATTTAGTAATTGCATATAGGTTTTTTATCTATACGAAAGTTTTTTTCTCATTTAATTATAATTGTTGTCTTTCCGTTTATTATTTCATCTTTCTTGGATAAAACTTGAACCTTCTTGAACTTGATCATATATTATCTTTGCTTTATCCTAAAGTGATTTGTTCTGATATCTACCTAGTTTTCTTAAAATTAAATCGAGGATTTATTGCGATGAGTTTCGATTAAAGCTATCAGCGCTTCTGAATTTTCACTGAACTAAACTGCTATTAGAGAAAAGAGTATTCAAGCCTTCTGAGATTATTTATGGTCGAATAATTGAACTATTAAGCCATAGGTCAATTGTTTGAAAAATTGGAAATATTAAGGTAAGATTCCAAGTGTTCTCTGGCAATTGTTATTTGCGTACCAAATTTATTTTCCTGGATTATAATCTTTGAATAATATCTTCAAACGCTAATCTTTCCGATTACTGCTCATACTTTCACTATCTCTACCACTACGGGATTTGGATTGACAATTGTATCTCTGTGCTAATGTGGTATGGCAACTCGAACTGATGTACGTACGTACGTACGAAGTTCTACGTTGTTGATGACTGACTGATAACAGCGCTAATAAATACATATAAGTGTTTGAAAAATAGATGTGTAAAACTGTCATAATTAAGTAAATTCTATTGCTAAATGGACTTTTACTGTTGAACAAATGTTAGCAGATTTCCACTTTGTGACTAAGTCGAATCTTTAATCGTCCATTCCAATGATGAGATAGTCTGGTTTTTACATAATGTTTAACAGCATAGCAAATTTCATCACAACCACCCGTGCCCCATGATTGTTTAATATTCCACCACAATTTGCTAAACTTTCATTATGCATTCAATGTTTTCTTCACTTTTGCTTGTGTGCTAATTTAGAAATTGTATTTATATATTTTGTTATAGTGGTGTATCACTATTCAAAAATATGCACGAGGATATTTGGCTCGAGAACGTCTCGCAACAGTTCAATATAATAGGAATTCAGCAGCCACAGTTATACAGTCTCATTTTCGTAAATTTCTAGTATTGCGTAGAATCAACATTTTGCATAGTTCAGCTCTACGAATACAATTATTTTGGCGCTTTCATCGCTCTCGGAGAATTATTACACAGTTTAAAGATGTAATTAAAATGTCCTCATTATCCTCTTTTTTATCGCTTAAATAATATTCACCACTTATTTCTTTTATATAATGCTTCTTTCCACGCTCATCTCCCTGACCAGTGTTCTCTTCTGGATTGTTCACTCTTAGTCCTAAAGTAGTCGTCTTCCCTATTTTTTTATCAGTGTTTAACAACCAGCATTCTTCCCCATTACCTCAGGGCTTCAAATTTAACCCTAAAATACATAACATTACTTTTGGTCGGTCAATAATGCTATTGTAACTATTCTTTGGTCCAAAATTAATACTCTGTTTTGTGGTAACTAACGCTATTTTCGACTAACAAGTGGCTGAAAGATTATTCTAATATGAAACTGGATCTATACGAAATAGGTAAACCAGGCGACTAATACACAACATTTCAACGATAACCCACTGTGCAATTGAAGAGATAAGTCATGAATTCAGGAAATAGATAATATTCAAAGAAGTCAGAATTTTATTAGAACAACTGTGTTTATGTAGCAACAAATATTATTTTTAAGACAACAAAAATAACAGACTAAGAAAAGGAACATCCAATCAGATAAAAAGAATTTCCAATGGGGTTATATGAATTAGAAAAAAGTTACCGATAACTTCCTTGCATATCAGAACTGTCACTTAGTAGAACGACCTAGCTACTTTTAGGTCATCCCAGCAATTAATTTTTCTGTTTTGGGTGTGGGTATAGAAAGGGGAATTAGCTCTGTCTTTTTCGTTTGCCTTTATTCATGTTATTTTGTTCTTACGTAAATTGTTAGTATCGCCGCTATCCACTCTGCATTGATCTGATAGCATAATCGCAATGGTCTGAAAATGCTCTACACATTTCTACTGCTCGTTTTTCATCGTTGATAAAGTTAACAAATCGATTCGCTACTCAATTTTTATTGATTAACAATTGTTTGCTGTTCTCCTTTTACTAGATCGTCTTACTTGTTGTTGAACGTCACAATTCATCTCGCATGATTCAACGTTGGTGGCGTGCATGTTTTCTTTTTAAGTTTATAGCTAGGCAACGTTGTTCTGCTATACGAATACAAGCCACATGGAAAGGTTTTCGAATTCGTAAACATTTGTTTGCTTTATCTCAATCTTCTAAAAAGGGCACAAACATTACGAAAATATCAAGTCGATTGAACGGTCGGGAAACGCATCTTGTTACATCTAAGTCAAAGTCTGCTCCAAATTTGCAAAATTCCAAGCCAAAGCTTCATAAAGAAAAGTGTTTGCTTTCACTTACACCTTTGGAAGCCAAGTCTCTTATAGATATTTGTTTCCGTTTGAATAAGGCAACAGAGCGTGCCCAAAATAATCCACATTTAACCTTAGCTTCAAAAGCCCGAAATGCATTGAAACAACTTTCTCACTCTACATCTGTAAACCAAATACTTGATGCAATCAAACTTTTAGGTAAGTTGTAAGAGATTAGAACTTTATGATTTGTTTATTCTAAATAGTTTTCAGATTTAATAAATGATCATACTAAGTGGATAGGTCATTACAATAGTTGTGTATATTCTACAGTCATCCATTGGACTCTGATATTTATTAGGAACTATGATTATTTTTTAAAAATTAATTCTAATAAACTGTATTTTTCAAACTTCGTATCCATATACTTTTTAGTTTAGTTATCTGTTTAATGAGAATAATCTAAATATTTTATTTCAGTGTACTACCGATCCGTTGTTGTAATACAGTTAATATTTATGGTTTGAGATATTGTTCTAATATGGTTTTTATCAAACCCAGTTGATGAAACTGCTTTTGCTTTTTGTTATATAGTTTTTAATTATTATCTTTTCCTAGATTTCAGTTTATTATTTGCTGTTGTCATTTTCAGCAACGATGAACTTGAGAAGTTCTATTAAATTAAAACCTCCTCCCTCTTTATTGAACCAAATTCTTGAAAGAGAACAAAGTTTATTAGATTATAAATATTCATAGTTTGACTGATCTTGATAATAACTAAATATTGTCTAAATAATTTAGTTCGGTCTACGGTAATTTATTTACTACCAGTTGTGACACCAAAGTTTTACCTGTTCATTCTCCAAGTTATTGATTCCATGAACATTGTTGTTGTGTTTTTAAGTCTGTCTGTTAAATTGAGAGATGGATGAATTTAGTCCTATCGAATATTTGTCAACTATTTAATACGTTTAGGTACTAAGCTATTGTTTCCCAACTTCAACGAGACTACTTCCATGTTCATTAACTGGAGTAATAAGTTCAATTTGTATAAAACCTTTATTGATCATGACCCCTGAAAAATTAATTTATATTCATGTTTATTCATTGATTATTAATTACAAAAATTCATCAAACTGAGTAATCATCACTGAACAAAAAGTCATTAAATTGATCGATACAATAAAGATCCATTTGGGAAAAAACACTGAGACTCAATGAATGAGATTCAGTACGTGAAATGATTTCTTCCTAAATGTAGCATTTACCGATTTAATACCTATAACGTCTTGTTTTTAAAATGAAACAATCCATACCTTTACATCGTTCTTGGATTAAGTCCTTCGTTAATTAAAGTAGTGAATAGAGTGAATTTGAAGGTTTATTGATCCTCGGTTGATATCTAGATTGTAGGTATCCCTTCTCAATGTAAATGAAGCAATTAGCGATTAAATTTAATTCATCTTTAGTTGACTGCATCTTAACAACAATTGATAGGCAAACTAACATGACTATCAACATCGGTTGTAGTATATTTCCGGGGTACTGGAATAATATATGCTGATTTACTTAAAGATTTCACCACCAGTTTGTTCCTTAAATTTTATCTTTGTATGGGCTTTCTAGGCGTTTTGTAGCCATGACATTATTAAGTATTAAATGTAGTGTTTCCTCGGTTACATTGAACCCTTATAAATAAAGAGAAACGTAATGTTATTTAAGGCCATGATTTCTTCCGTATCCAGCTTTACATTTTGGAGTATTTAATAGTTTCGTCGAATACATAAATGTAGCAATCATATTAACACATCTAGTTTAGACATATTCGGACTGCAAAGCGGAAAGTGTTTTTATTTCAGAAAAGGCTGTAAAATTTTCTTTTGAACTCAAATTTTGTCATTATCTATTGGGTTAAAGTTCGTTGTATGATACGAGTGATGAGTTCTGTTTTAGTAATTTCAGGTTTGTTCATTTGTAAATTCAAATACAATATTCATAATTAGTCGTAAGACTTGAGAACAACCCCAGTATGTTCAGATCATCACTATCTTCTATTTCTAACTTATATTTTTTCACTTTAGAAACGACTACCGGTTTCTCGGCAGAACTTTGTTATTGGATAGTTGGTTTGTCACCTCCTAAAAAGCCAATGTACAATAATGCATGTTTCAATGAGCAGGATGAGAACTCACCATGTGCACTTATTCGTTTCTTTCAAATTATGATGGCTTGTAATCGTTCTGTTCCACATGAAGATATTTTTATAGCTATTACAGGAATTTTTTTAAATATTGGACGACGTAAAGATCTAGTCAGTAATCTAGATTTATGGTGGAATCCTTTGACTTTTAAGTCAAAGAGACCATTTGCCACTAATGAGAATGAAAATGAAGAATTTCAACAACCAGCTATTGTACGTTTAATAAATACCCAGTTAAGACGTTATCAAAGTCTTCCAGGTTTATGTACAACTGTATCTGATTTACAGCTTTCTATCTCTACACAGTCACATCTCAAAAAACTTAGTCACGTTAATTCAGTGGAATCAAAATTACCGCACAATTCGGTGTCTATTACTCAGAACATGAGTTTAGTTGAAGTTTTAATGGAAATACTTCAGAGGACATGGCGTGCTCGCCCTGGAACAGTGGTTAGTTTATTTTTCTGACTGGTTACGTATATTTAGGTTAATCTTTGAATCTTTCAGCAAATACTATCAACTTTTGTTCCCTAGTAAAAATAAGCACATTCAAACAGTGGCTTTTCAAAAAAATTTCTGCAGTTCAATATACTTTTAATCAATTAAGGAAATTTCAACGGAATATTTTTTATTTAGTTGATCAGTTGCAACAATCTTTTTCCATTGTTTTCTAAAGGGATCTGTGCGAGAATGCATTACAACTTACGATTTTGCTTCAGTGAAAGCATGCTCTCTTACGTACGAGCAGTCAAAAGTACATTTTCCACCATACTCTTACTAAGTGTTTATTGAGCAAATAAAATAAGGTTAATGTTTCATCACAGGGTGCATTTACTGTACTGTATAAACCAGTTAATCCTCCTACAGAATTGAACTCCATATTTAAGCATACCAGATCTCACAACCGTAACCAGTGATCGATTGACTATATACATGTTAGTCATTTATGTACAAAATACTTACCCGATATGACAATGTGATCAATGGTTACTTTTCAGATGCCTATCATCTCTGTTCAGTGGTTTAATATCAATAACGTTAAAAATTGTAAGTACAAGGTTGAGAAGTTTGCTGAGTTTGATTGAAATCATGAACCGATCAATGTTAGACTAACATTGAAAAGCTGGAAACAAGATCAAATCTCTTGGGTTCGATTCCCTCACGTACATTTCTAAGGAGTCAATCACCAAGACAAAATGGCTGTCCAGTGCTTCCAAGTTTTCAATGGGGATCTAACATTGATCTGCTTGTGATTTCAATGAAACGTTAATAATGGTTAGATTCGTTTATGTTACAGAATTCTTCCAGTTTTTTTCCTCAGTAAATACACTTCATTAGAATCTAATTACTAGATAAGTCTACCAGATAACTTATTTCCATCAGTAAACACTCCTTTTTTATGCATAGCAGTTCTTACTGCTTGAAATTTACAGCTATAGTATTATTATCATTATCACCTCACTAGATTGTAAACAAATTCATATTTACCCTTACAAAGTAAACTACCATTTACTTGTTGACCGATTGAATATAGTCGATAAAATGTGCTCCTTAATCTACGGTTTAAAAAATAACTATAATTACACATAAATATATCCGTTTTCATTTATTGTATTTTTATTTTAAGAAATTCTATGGTCAAAACACCTTACTTTTTTGTCTTTACTTTTCTTAATCTACTTCAGAGTGTACGCCTATTCAGTCGTACTTGTTGTGTTTTGGCTCTTCTATTCAATTCAGCTCCTCCTCATTTATTTTCCCACAACTCTTTTTTATTGCCCACATTACAAGAAATTTATGAAGGACTTTATCGCCGATCTGACCCACATTCTCGATTTCACCTTAATTTCGATCCAATCGGTGATTCTACTAATTTTCTAAATGTTAATGAAGTTCATTTAAAGGCATCAAACGCTCAAATGAAAAAACTTCGTGCTTATCTTAGGTTAGTAATTTTGTACTTGGATTATTTTTGTTATATATTCCGATAAATAATTGATATATTTACATATATGTATCGTACTTTCCTCTAGTTTCTCATCGAAATTATTTTACTGTTTTTCTTACACTTTATATATGAAAGGCATTATTAAAATACACGAATGGGCAACCAGTTGTATTCGATTCTTAAAGTTACAGAAATTATAACAAGATCATTACAGTGAAAACGGTCATCAGATCTTTTAATCTATCAAAATTATCTTCATAAAAAACTGATACTTTAGTTAGCGAAGAAAATTTTCGATTTTTTTTCTCATATTTCCACCATTAATACAAGTTGAACATTTCGATTAACAGAATAGTCAACCTTTAAACTGTATATCTACCTAATTATAATTGTTACTACCAGTTCACTTTTGGTTGTTCTAAACTATCAAGATTAACCTTGTTTATGTGCCGTACTAGATTTAACCATATCTTGTACAATAGTTGGTTTATCACTTGGTATTTCCTCTGGCTTATAGTATGGTCTAATTATGAGGAATATACTTGTATAAAAACCTAAAGACAGTCTGTTGGGAGGAATTCACAAAATATGAGAACCGTGAGAAACCGACCGCTGATTAATTAAATGATCGCAAAAAATAATCTACAATCTACTTGGTTTCTTTAGTAGTTTTGTATGGAAAATGTTGGTTGATGATATTTTCTTAACTTTTCAATAGCTCAGCACATGTACTGAATCGAATAATTGAATGACGTCTTAGTGATTCAGTGGTTATTGTGATAAGATTTAAAGTTTTCTGTATTTTACCATTAAAAGAATGAAAAGATGCTTTGAAAGTGATACTTCAAAACTGTTAAACTAAATTAATTAGTAATTCAAAAATTTTATCGCAATTGGGGTTTGTGGAGATTGTAGTAATTTAATAGTTGAGTTCATGAGTCGATTAAGGTTAAACCGCCATTGAAAATCTGGAAGCACTGGACAATCGTTTCATTATAGTATAGGACTTCTCAGCAGTGTGTATCCACTATCCCGTACGTAGGAATTGAACCCAGGACCTTTGGTCTCGCGCGCGAACGCTTAACCTCTAGACCACTGAGCCAGCATCCAACGGTGTTAGTGTCTAACTTCAACCAATTCACGATTTTGCACCACCGCCCACCATTGTCTTCAGTGAGTAATTTCCTTACAACAGACACGGTTTTCCATGGTGATCTAGCTTTAGTTTACTCGTAAATTCAACTATTAAAATTAAAGGATTATTGTTAGTTAATATACAGAGATATAAGAATAAAACAGTCTGATTGTTAATCTGTACTACACAACAAATTTGTTTCATTATCCTAATCAAATATGGAAAGTTATGCTAACACACATCTATCTCAGCCTCTATATTGATGACATTTATCTGTTTAACGCAATCAATTACGAACTGTTATAGCGTAAAAGTTATTGACTGTGTAAATATTTTCGTTCGCTTATCTTCATGCTATCTAGATTATGACCTACCGATTTCTACAAACTTTTTTTTGATAAGGAAGAAGAAAGAATGCTTTACCGACAAGTTAATCTGATTTAAAATAGCGGCTACTAGATTTTTGAGTAAAATCCAAGACTCGATGACGGATATATTGTCTATTATTAAGAGCTAAGTAAACAATTAATAGAAGCAACTAGTATTTACTTACTAAGGTGCTTAAAATTAAAAGACTGATAGAGATACAAAAATGAACAATTCTTAAGATGAAAAATGAGTAAATGATTAACTTTTCGTGTTAAAATAAATATAAACTGTATATAACATTATCAGTTTTGAAAGTTCTTAATATATGAAATCCTAATACTAACTGTGCATATATTCTTGTTGATATAACTACAAAGTGTTATTTTACTCTATTTCTATTACTACTAACATTTTTGAATTTTTATGTAAGAAATTATTCATTCTAATTGGCTCAAAATAGGCTTTACTTTTCCAAAGTTCTTTATGAATACAGTGGTCTTGAGTGCTGTTAAAAGTGTGAAGGCGGTTATCACTTCCCGGTTTCCCACACCGTGGGAGGGTTCTTCCGGAGGTGCCTGAAAAGAAAATTGGATTAAAGGTGGTCTTAGTGACCTGAGAGCGTGACCACAATGCACAAGGGACAACTGCTTGAGGTCGGTCACACACGACTTCTTTGTGAGTAAGTTTCGTGTTAGCTCCTTACTTGTTGAAACCTTACTTCCGGAGACGGATATCTGTGGGATAAGGCGAGGTGTGTATTTTTAGGGTCGATATTTACTAACTCCACCCCTCCTTGTGGGAAGGCAACATCGCTGTTATGCTGGTTGTCTGAAGGAAACACTTTACTGCCGTCACACCTCTGTACAATAAGCAGTACGACTTCGCCGTCTGATCTTGAGTTTGTTGCTTTTAGTCTTACCGCTCTTCAACCGACCTGTCTGACATGGTAGGACCTTGAGGAACGACTGTTCCAGCCAGTATAGCTCAATTTCCTCATCACGATAGGCAAACCTGACCACTACATCAAGGTATCAACAACGGTAGGACCATAGTTCTTTAAGCGTTGTTAATCGTCATCATGATTTCTTGCAATCATATTTTGTACTATTTCTCTTATTGTTGTGCTCTGTTTACGGTGTGACAGCTAGAAATAGCCATTTATACTTGTCTTATTTGCAACTAAACTGTAACTTTCATTTATTTTTTTTTTAAATTTTCTTTATTCATTTACAGTTGTGAATTGGATTGGCATTTTCGTCCAACCAGATCTCGTCTTAATCCATTATTAGCTATTCAATACTTATTAATGATTGCAATGAGAAAAATTGATGATGCATAATTGTTACTGCTTTCATTGTATTCTACGAATGATTCTAAAAATTATTTATCTGTATATAATATAGTATTTTTCTTATAGTCTTCTCTATCGGTATTATGTGTTAGCTGGATGTGTTCTATGTGAATATTGTTCGTTATTACGTAATCTTAAATTGTGTTTTTTTTTACATTCTACCTTTTTTTCCCCATTATCTACTTGGATTCATTGAAATACTTCTGCGCAATGCTTATTCAAATTGCCAGTTTATAATCTTTAAGTATCCTCTTCTTCTTTTTTTTAGCTTCCCGTTTGGTTTTATTGTATGCATTTGTTTACTTCTTAAATAAACATCTAGAAAACCATATTATGGATGAATATTTTAACTATTTAAAAAAAAAAGTTGTATGATTTAAATAAGGCATTCTTCATAATTTTTCGTTTGTAAGTATTATATATTTAATTAAGAAGTTTCAAGTATCTAATTGCGTTATTTGTGACTAGAACACATTTAAACTATCAAAGCTCTCAATGTAAACATGCATCGCTCTAATTAATAGTACCCTGACCCAATAGAAAATAGAAAAGTAAGATCAATTAAAAATAGATAATAATTCATGAAGAGATTCGATAATACATCTGATCTCTGGATACAAAGTAAGTATCACTGGTATATGTACTTACTGTGTTGAGCCATTGGGAATAATCTAGAACTTTATACATCTATGTAATGTGTGGGTAGTGTTAGTGATATAATAAATGACATCAATATATCTCAAGTGAAAATCAATTATTTATACTAGACTGAGTCATCTCTGATGCCGTTACGTTTGTCTAACATCCGAAGTTCGAATGTATAATGCGTTGGTGCCAAAGGTTTTACACATATATTATCAAACTCAGTGTTAATACCACGACAGTTCCGAAGCATGTTGTCGGACATACCAAAGACGATAATTCTCATCAAAACTTTCAATTTCAATATTAAATATATTATTAGTTAGACCCTTGGAGATTATTCTGCATAAGGATTTCCAGAACATTTGTGTGAATGTCAATCAATTAATTGTTTTCTACTCAGCAAATAAACACAGATTATAACATGTAATTAATATTTATAAATTTCTGCTGATATACTTTTCTTTATATTTCATAAATAAAAACTACCATTATATTAGCACTAACCTAATAACTTACTGAAACCTCATATTTATTGGTTGTTTGGATCTTCCCGTTGAATTTGAAGACTACTATTGATCAATCTCTTATGGCATATATGCATCCTATGCGGATTGCCTCAATATTACCATTAACTTATCAAGATAAGCAGCGATAGGTGATGAGATTCAACTTTTTATATCAGATATACCATATGTGCAACCAAAACTAATCAGTATGGTTCTTGGTCAAGTATTAGATTGAATTTTATGCGTATAAATATTCCTTTGCCCAAACGATTCAGGATTTAAAACATTAGGTAACTACTACTGGATTTACCTTACAATTGATAAAAGTGATCTGACAAGGGGAAAATAGCCCGAAGAAAATTTCTTGTAAATTAAAAAAAGCACTCAGTAAAAATTTCGAGGTTAGATCATTGCAGGCGTTTTCGATAACCGTCTTTGTTATCTCAAAGTTAATATTTCAGAAATGTTCATCCAGGAGTATGATTAGGCACGCAATATGCATTTATTACTATGGGATCTGCAAAATGCTTTACTACGAAGATTAGCTAAATACTTTTTATCCACACATGATCAATTTATCACTATTTAGTCCTTCCAATGACACTGTTCAGGTGCATATCAACCGTACGATACAAAATATTCCCAGCTTTTCGACTTTGTATGTTGATTTAGTACCACTGTTCTCATTTCTTCGGGGTTTTTGTTGTCATTGTATTATACAATGACACCATGAGGGATTACAATTTTGAATTCATATTTTTGTAAAAAAATATTTGGTTCTTTTGTTTAGCTAAGTATTCATCACCTTTCAGCTGATTCCTTCAATAATTATGTAACTGACAATATTCAGCCGAATTTGAATGAGTCCTTCAGATATATAACTTAGAGAACCAACTAAAATGTCCCCTACTCTTTCTCCAACATCACCTACCAAACAAGGTCGACGCATATTGGTTCTCTTTATCTTAAATGAAGTGAAACTAAATTTGATATCCTGTTTTATTTGGATCGGTATAATTCTAAAGATATTGTGAAGTAACAAATTATGGATATCTGCTTCCCCATTTTTTTGCCAATATCAAGTCACAGCAACAAAGAAGAGCTAATAACTTATTCTTTTGAAAATCGTATCAGACTACTTAGAACTTATATAAATAGTATCAGGAAGACAGTCCGAAAAACTTATTTGTATTGTAAAATAATCAGTCTGACTGTTGTTGATATATTTTAGCTCATAATGTTACAGGTTTCATATGGAATTTATTTACGAGTTCAGTATACTGTTTGCGAAATGAAAAATGTCGAATACAGTAGTTTTACTTCTTGTTTTGTTGTCGTGTTCGACTTACGCAACATGAATGCATCAAATTATCACTGTATAAAGATAATTCCCGTCAATAAAAATGACAAGTGACTATTCGCTGAATAGCGACCGATCTCATATTTCTCGGGTATTTGGTGCTAATAAAATTCCATCAGTCAAGTTGCAATAATGTCACTAATCTAATGTTGAAATGTTAGATTATTATAAATAGTTGTTAGGACACCCTGCTAGCTGACACTTGTCAGTAAGATGTTCCTGAAATGAGGGAACTGATGTCCCCTGATCGCCTCAAACCCGATGCTTCACTGAGCTTTTCGGATTACGACTTGGTAGTTATGTGATTTACTAGTCTTACATCATACTTCCATTATAATCTAATTACTATCGACTTGTCTTATTTGACAACATTCGTGTATCGATAAAATAAAATATTTGATACAAAATTAGTTGAATGATTTCCGAAACTTGTCCAATACGATGTTGTACGATTGTGATCTCATAGGGAAGGTCAAGAACGACAGTACATAAGTCACACTTCATAATAGACCACCATAGTCAAATCATATTTCATTACTTTATTGAGACGCTAGAATCTACATAAAACTGGTAATTAACACTTTCAACAGTTTTTCAGGCTAAACAGTCCTAACCAACTATAGGTCAATATCGAAATCTCTGCTTGGAACACCGAATATTACACCTCTGACTCTCATGGGTTGATAATAACATTACAGATAATATTCTAAACAAGTGTCAGAAATCAGGAAACCTGGCTTGTTAAGGCCTCTTATTTCTATACAGTCATTCCACTACAATTAAAATATTTGAGAAGTATTCACTTTCTACATAAGTTTCGCTTTAAGAATTTACTCTCCAAGCATCTGCTTTTGTATTCACTCTGAAGTTTAAATATAATTATCATCGAAAGCTCGTATCAACACAAGATCTAAAAAACACTGCATTGATATTGTCTTGCCGTAAACAGTTAGTGACACCGTCCATAATCATGAATTTATCATTGAGTAAAGAATACTTAGTTTTAGCAAATTCGATGATCCCTTTCAGATTAAATCAACTCACCATGTATTATGGACTATCTCTAATATCATATGTGTAATCCATTCATTCGCTATAAAAATCATGATTTATGTTATTCACAGTTCTGTCGAGTATTTTCTACCAATTGTTCCTTGGTACAAATTGATAAACAATTCCGAGTAACTTATCTGCTTTACATCACAGACTGATCTTAGACTACCATTGAAAATCAGCGTACATTGAACAAGTATCTCCTGCCAGTGTGTAATTTCTTTTCAGCACACATCTACAATACCACTTGAACGAACTCAGGGCCTTTAGGTCTCCATGAGGTCAAGTGAAACGCCATGACTAGTGGAATCCAATCACATCGAAAAATAGTTGCGTGATTTTACAAATTGACTGAAGTTTGACGTGTACACCACTGGATACCGGATCACCGGCATAAAGATGAGACACTCATTGCAAGACCTGAAGGTCCTGGGTTCTATCCTCTATTAAGTCGTAGATGCACACTGCTGAGGAGTTATATACAGCTGTCCAATATCTTCTGGTTTTCAATCGCTGTCTAACTAAGCTCAGGTCTTGAGCTTGAAATTAAACGATCTCCTTAAACTTCCTGTAGTAATAACGATTTTTTAATTATTATTTTATTGCTCCAACTCTAAATTTTAAAAAATCCAGTATATAAATAAATATTTATATAGTGGCGAGAATGATAGCGTAATTTCACACTTGGTTATATGCATTTACATATTAGTAATAAAAATCAGCCACCGAAAATAATTTCTACTTTGTATACCCTTATATTACATAATCCTTTGTAGATCTCTGTCTACTATATACACAAAACAAGGTCATTCACCTATATATATAACCAACCAAAAAACATACCATAGATTGTTTCTATGTGGGCGAGAATTAAAGAGTGAAACAATCTTTGCATCTGTTTATCTTCCATTTAAAAAAACTAAGCAATTTATGTGTGATCAGAAGTGAAGAAATAAAATTCTTCTTTTACAGCTCACGCTTAATTGCATCAGAACTATGATAGTGAAAGGTTGGCTAGCAAACTTTACATGATACAATCAATCATCAAATTGTTTTCAACTAATTTCCACTCTTCTATTACACAGTTATTATGAATTTCAATGTGAATCTGTAACTTGTTATTGTTCTCATTTTATTAAACATCCCAATGTACACACATATATAAACAAATTCACCCTTAACGACTGACCTGTTTATAGCCCCTATTTAATCGTGATATATATATATCATGTTACCATGATAAAAAAGATATAGGCGGCAAATGAAATCAGATGATGAACTGTGAATTATATGTTTATAACCTGCTTAGTCAAAAGGAGGAGATGAAAGGTTATGGAGAATTCAGTGACACTGACCCTGTACTCAATATTATGCTTAAAGTTTAGTTAATACACAAGGAAAAAAAGACTCAAGTCGATTAATTTGTTTGATAGTAACAAGACAATAATTATATTAATTTTTTATGATGAACTCAAATGTAGGATGAGTATTCAGCTCAATTATATTATTATTTAGAGTGAAGAAAAGTTAATGAAAATATTAATGATGACATTGTATTAGGTTATTAAAGAAGAAACTGAAATTAAATATGTTTTCTATTAAGATTAAATAATGACTAGTAGTGGTAGTATGTTCCTTCTTATTTGAGATTCGTCAACCATATATACCTACATCTCAGTGTTAATGTTCAAATTAAGACCCAATACCTTTTTGTTTCAAATGCCATATGTCAAAATCTTGTGACTAAGTGGCGATAACGGAACAATTCCCTCATGATGAACGTATACCGATAGACGATAATCAATTATAGCCTT